TCTTTTTACTGTCGATGAAATGACATGTACATTTCTCCATTGTGAGATCAATAAAGTTTATTTATCATACTGTTACATATATTTGTTTGAGAATACTGGCTCAAATTATTTGCTTTTTAAATCCTAGTTCCATTTTAGATTCATAACAGATTTTTTATTCTTGAATCATTTTACTATTTTTTTTCACTCACTTACAGTATGTTGATAGTCACTTTGCACCGTGTACTATAGCAGACCAATAATATAGATTGATCCCTTTACTGTTGGACTGTGTACAGTTTAACTGATAACATGTACAATATCCAATATCCATCCTGTGTGTAGACTAATAAAGCTTTGATACGCTTCCTGCACTAATGCACAAACGGCATTAGTGCAGGAAGCATATCAAAAACCCACCAAAACTTATGACTCAAACTCCACAATCACCACCAAACCAATAAACCCCAAAGCTAACCCTTTTGCTGAGGCAGTAGCAGCAGCAGCAGCAGCAGCAGCAGCAGCAGCAGCAGCAGCAGCAGCAGCAGCAGCAGTAGTAGTATTGGATTTCTCAGGTTAATGTGTTATCACTGGCACTTTTCATCACATTGTGGTAAAAACCGACACCCAATTCACTTCAGCCCTATCATCTGTCAGTGCCAATTAATCACTTGGATGAATTTACTGCTCTGGTATTTGCTGGATTTCTTTGCACCTCCTAAAACCTGTGAAAGTATGTGACTGGGTAGGATTGTAATTTGACTGAAAACAGTAAGTAGGTAATAGACGTGGGTTAAACAGGGTTTCTTTGTTGGTTGGACTTGGACAGGATTTCAAAGGAGACATTTGTTCTTTTGGGATACTGTTTAATAATAAAACATCAAACTTATATAGCGCTTTTTGGACACTCAAAGACTATTTACAAAACAGATAAAAGTAATTATTGAACACAAAAAAGGAAAGGAAAGCTGAAACTGGTGGGTTTTGAGAAGTGATTTAAAGTTCTGTAGTGATTCTGAGTTTCTGATGGGTTTTGGGAGTGAGTTCCAGAGAATGGGGTCAGCTGTGGCGAAAGCTCGGTCCCCCAAGGTTCAGTGTTTAGTCCTGAGGGGAGTGAGGAGGTTGGAGTTTCTGGAGTCTGTGGATCTGAGGCGGCGGGTGGGACAGTGAGGATGGAGGAGGTCAGTGAGGTAAGAGGGGGCAGGTTATGGAGGGACTTGTAGGTGAGGAGGAGGACCTTGTATTGTATGTGGTATGGGACAGGGAGCCAGTGGAGTTGTTTGAGGATGGGGGTGATGTGGTCTCTGGAGCAGGCGTGGGTGAACATTATTGACCTAAAACATCTTCCTGTTGACAACTGGAGAATTATCATGAGTACAGAGGAATGGGCGGGGATAGGTGGCAGGTGAAACACACATTTCGCAAGCATTGAAGCCTTTAATGCAGGGCAGTGTGATCACACAAACATTTATGAATCAAAAATGTATTGACCGAAGAACTGCATTCAACTATTTAAAAACAACACTCTTTGCATAGAGATTTCTTCCATAACTTCCACGTGACTGGCGATATTTTGTAAAATCTGCTCAAATATCTCACTGCTATTTCAAAGATGAGCGTTGGATTACGATGCGAGAGGAGGTTAGTGTGCAAAGTTCACATTTTAAACGTGTCCTAAAGAACTACAGTCATATTTTATATATAATCAGCAATACAGGAGATTTTTCCTGACCTGCTTTTACACTTTTACAGTCATACAAGATTGAATTACGTCAACAAAGTTGTTGCAGGATTACTACATCTTCCATGCACGATATCTTGGTAGTGTTCATGTTCTAGAATTCAAAAAACATGACAAAAAACATGTTGGATTTGGTGATAGTTATAATTTCAGGAATTGCGGATAAATGAAAGATAAACTAGTTTTACCTTGAGAGTTGCCATTCACAGCAGGACATATTTTTCAACTACCCCTCTGCACTAATTTAAACTATGAGCTTTTTGGAATGTGATGTCACAATGAAGCCTACAGACTATAGACCTGAGCACCTTTAACAAAGTAATACTTAAACAACATGTGTAAACATTGGGTAATGTTTTATTATTGTGAGCGAACCATGGACTGTATATGAGCAGTCAAATAACTCAGTGCTGACGCCACCCATACCATTTGCTAAATGCGGCTGGGTTAGTTTTGCAACGTTACAAGGGCAGACATGTTGCTAAGGTGGTTGCTAAGGCAAGCTAAAATTCCCCCCTGCGAATGGAGGCATCCGATTGGTCAATATAAATATCAAAATAAAAACCCCGGGATCACAGATAGTGCTAAACCATACTATTTTAAGTCCAAAATGCTGAGTGTGACACAACCGTTATGAGCAAAAGAAGTTTACTTTTCAAAGTACTTTTCAATCGGAGCCGGAGGGAGCTGGAGCAAAACGTTGTTTGTTCATGAACACTTCCTTATTGTGAATCAGTGAGCTCGTGGGTTAATATCGTCCATCTATATACAGTCATATGGAGCCACCTTTACAAAAATGAATGGATTTAAACCCAAGAAAAACTTCAACTATTATCCACATTTTAACTTTGAAATTTAGTGAAGGAGCAAAAGTCATGCCTGAATTACGCTAATGACATTTTGACTATACATTTTGAAGATCCAAGGCAGCTCAATCCCCCAGTCTGTCACTTCTGTCAGCTTGTTCTGGGGCAACTAGGGTCCTGCGCCGCACTGCTGACTTTGATGGAAATAAAGGAGCTCTGGCAGGGTTTTAAAGACAAGCTGTCTGCAGCCATAACCTTGAGCTCCTCCGTGTGAAGGCGCCCGTACAAGACTGTGTGTGTGTTTACATGATTGCATTAAGAAGTGTGATAAGGTTACAAACTACACCGCTATACGTGGAATATGCTGAGCCAGGATAAAGATTATAGGATTGGGGATAATAGATTTAGCCGAGGTGTTTTGACGTGCAAGATTCATAAAAAGGGAAAAGGAAATTTACATCCCATGCATCAGACGTGGATGTTTATTTACAGCCATTGTTTATTCCATGGGCAGCCAAAGTCGTTTTATCCTGCTGTCTGCTGTAGCGGCGCATTAGCATAGTGATAATGAGAGATGGAAGAGGTTGCCAGTGTCAGCAAGTCAGCCATTTTTTATTTTTCTTTCTTTCTTTTTGTTTGTTCGAGCAAAGTTTGAAGTGTCACTTTGTAGTTCAATCTAAGATATTCAATGGCAAGAGTTTTGTCCCATAATTCTGTTTTGATTCAAGAATTGGAGATGATTAAATCGACCTTACTTTCAACCCACAAAGAATGACACTATGAAATAAAATCTATGAACTGTAACTATAAAGAGTTAGTTCTCGGTTCTAAAGCAGTAGAGCACTAGTTTTTACGTGCATATATGAAAAGATGATTTTCAAAAACAGACCTGAGTTTATTGTTTTACATGTTTTGTTATTGGCAGTGCAAGGGTGAAACTTTATTTGTATGACAAATATATGTGTTTTCAAAAGTCTTGGTAAAATTGTAAGCATTTGAAATACGTTTCCAATGCCACTTATCTGTTTCGGAAACGGAACAATTATTTTCTTTTTTATCTTTTATATCTGTCACAACTTCTGATCATATTTTGAAGACAAACTTGAAAAAGAGAGGATCGAACTCAATCAGCTCTCAGCCCAAAGTGCCACAGGGCTCTTTCTGAAAGTGAATGTTGGTTACTTCTCAAAATGTGAAAAGAGGGAATTTTTGTGAAGACACACACTGGGTGGACCTGCCTAGGCTCAACAATAATACATTTGATCTTGATGTTTGCTTGATGAAGGCATTACGCTGAAACGTCGCACTTCTAATACATTATTTGTAATTTGCAAGTAAGACAGTGTGCGGGAATCACATTCGGCTACACAGGCCTTTCCTCCTACGCACTCGATCTGTAGATATTGGTGTGAATCCCTACTCAATGATACATTTAAAATTATCCATGTATTTTAAATATATTATTGTGAAAACAAAAAAAAACACTTCCTGTTTAAGTTGCTGACACCTCTAAGTATGCAAAAGATAAAATGTTTTCCAGTTGAAATTGTTCTTAAAATTATATACTGAATGAGTTGTAAAGGTATTATTTACAAGGGAAGTACGATGGGTACCCATGATTACCAGAATGACATAGATCTATAAAATAGAAACTAGGTGAAAATGACAAATGACAGTAGAAATTAGAAAGAAAGAAGTTAGAAATCTGCATTATTCTGGGATTTTTTAAGAAACTCCTTCATAGTCTCACAGTTGTTCTTCTCTTTTTCCAGGTGAATGCTGCTTTCCTACGCACGCCGCTCCGGACAACAAGCTCTTTGATTGGATATTGACGCACAAACAAGGAGCTCAACACGGACCGCTGGATTTACCAACAAAGAGCAGAATCGACTCACCGCCGCCTTTGCTTCATCTCATCTGTTTATGTAGCCCAAAGTAAAAACACGCTCGATTCAAGCATCGGGAACAAGACATCTGATTGTGGTGGTCCTTCTGGCCGGACACTTGCACTTTTGTGGATCTTTTCTTTTTTGTCAGCCAACAGATTTAACAGAAAAATTAAGTTCCCAGTTACGTGAAAGAATAAAAGAAAGCGCTCACTTATTGTACGTTTACTCAAACATTCTCGGAGGAAACAGGACCAACATCACTATGTTTTAATATACCTTTGTATATATGTTGTGGGTGAAACTTTTTCTACTTTAATACGCATCACTAAATCTCCAATTTCGCTGAAACTTGACTTATATTTATTGAAAATCAACGGTAAAAGGGCAATTTTTCAGACACCCACTTTGCTTCAACCTCTGGAATCTAGACTACAGTGTCATTAAGAAAGGCGGTTCCATTTGAATTAAGGTGATAATAGACTGGAGTTTTAGTTTGGATTATATTGTCAACAATCTCAAATAACAACTGACTGAGTTTGCTGCAGTGGTGGCAGCTTCACTCACCACGCTGGACCCCAAAGCAGGATGCCTGAACTGGACCACTTTCCTCCTGTGAGGGACCACCACCACCACCAGGACTACCCCGAGTCATTACCGGCCGACCCTGCCCAAATCCAAAACAACATTTTGGAGGAGCAGGTGGAACTATGGTGGTTCCGAGATCCGCGGAAGTCTCTGCTCTGCTACTGCGTGTCCATACTCCTCATACTGGGCTGCGGACTGGGCGGGGTGGGCCTCCTGTCCACCACCACCAGCGTGTCCAGCGAATGGCGACTGGGAGTAGGCACTGCGCTCTGCCTTCTCGCTCTCGGAGTCCTCCTCAAGCAGCTGCTGAGCTCGGCCGTGCAAGACATGAACTGTGTGCGGAGCAGGCGGAGAATAGACATGTTGAAAAGCGGCGGGCTGTCGGATCTGCTGGTGGTTTTGATCACCGGCGCCTCGCTTCTCATATGCGGCGGGGTCCTGCTGCATCTGGCTCTGGCCAATCACATGCCCAAACCGGGTCAGGCGCTCAATGACATGTACATCTCTGGGGTGGTGCTGCTGACCGGAGGGGGGGCGGCCGTGGCGGGAGTGGGGGTCTACGCCGCCGTGGTGATGTTGCTGGAGAGGACGAGGCACGGTCGGCGCTTGGTGGACCGGGTGTGGCATATTTTCACGGTTTCGGGACACATGGACCGTCCCGGGCGCAGGGAGACCACGTCCAGTTTGGCCAATCTCATCTGAGGCCGAATCGAGGGAGTGTTGTGGTTGTGTGAGCAGACTTGTATTTGTTCAGAGGAAAAGGTGGAAGACAACTGTTCTGTACACTTTTTTTTGACACTTTATTTTTTCCATTTGTTGCGGAGAATGTCCAACAGTAACAGCTGTAAGCGTTGAAGCCAGTACCAGGTTTCAGGCGCCATATGCATGCAACATTTGAAGGACCTTTTACACCATTCAAGATACAATGTTTTGATTATAATAACTAAATTCTTTCAGAAAAAACTCTCTCCTTGATATCTCCGAGTCAGATCTCTGGAAAGGCATAACATGTTTTGAATGATGAATGTAATGCAGAGTCGAACACATTCCCTGACCCTTATTTTTATGGAAGAAAGCAGAAGACTGTCCACCGAAGTGTTCTTTTAACAACGAATGTCCAATAATTGCGATTGCACAATTATGTAGTGTAATTAAAGTCATTAAGTGTTAAAAGGAATCCCAGACTACAATAAGTAAAATAAAATAAAAAGTCTATACAATATATAGTAATTTATTGGTCATGTTGCTGGATTTAACTGACAATTTTTCTAATAATTTGATTAACTCTCATGGCCATTTTATTTGGTTTTATTTGTTTACATTGTCCTTTGAAAATTGTGGGAAGTTGTATGTCTGCAACCACAATTGTGCATCCAAATACTCCTGACAAAAAACATTAGAACAGACTGTGTCCAAAGATCGACGGGAATTGGATTAAAACCCAATCCATCTTCGCACGAGCCGGCGTCGATCCGCGCTCGTTTGACAAATGCCAAAAGAGTGGAATTTTAATGTGCTAATGAAGACGTAGCCATAAGCTGTCAGACTAACAAATGGAACAAGGATCACAACAGTCACCGAAAGAGAGAGACAGACATTGGGATGTATCTTAAAATGTTTCATCTAAAGTAACTGAGATAAAAGCACGTTTTACATGAGAGAAGCGTTCACTGTGACTTCTCTTCTTTCTGGGGGGAACATTAAGACGCTCTCACAGTCACAGTAATGTACCGCTCCTGTCAAAGTGTCCTTGAGCCACGCACTGACTACTACCTGCGCTGATTGTAAACCACTGAATAAAATGGTTCTGAAGCACACGGCGGTTTCACGGTGGACTTGAATTCTTTTTCATTTGTGTGCAAAAGTGCTGATTTCAGATGCAGACTTGGAGTTGGTTTGCTCTTTGTCAATTCTGAAGGAAATACTTTTATTTGTACACACAAGTAGCATAGAGCTGGATTACTTCACTTTCCATGTACCAAATGCCTAGATTATAGATGGGAATAAATGTCTATATATGATTAAAATGGAGAGAAATGTGCCAAGACATTTCGTTTTCTGTCAAGTTTAATAGTGGTGCAGTTTTAGTTAATTATCAACAGCAGTAATAGTTCATGTGAAAAAGGCCCAGTAATTACAGAATTATAAATCTTAACTGAAATTGTTGGATTGTGATATACAAGCAGAACAATAAAAAACTTCCTTGCTGAAGTGAAAAAAAAATTAAAAGTCAAATATGTTACCTTTGGTGGACCGTCTACAACCATTGGTCTTAATCATCAAATAATCTAAAATATGGAGTTGTAAACTGGTTTTCTCATCAATTCAAAAAACAAAACAATCACATTGATATTAGAGCAATGCAAGAATTATGAACAATGCAACATGAGTAATTATTAGAAAAAGCCAGAAAGGACTTGGTACGCTTTAAGACGCCTTTTTGTTCTGTCTAGCAGTGATTGAAGTTGAATTGAAAGAAAAAAGTATTGCATTTTTACCCATATACTGACTTATGACAGTGTAACAATGTGGGTAAAACAATATTTTGACAAGCTGAGGTCATTCAGGTTCCAAACTGTGCAGTGCCCGTTCACGGAATAGACCAAAGAAAGCAGCTCTTTTACATTGTGTCTGGTTCTAAGCTGTGGATGTGAGGCGCTCTTTATCAGGCTGCACACACCACCGAGGGGTCACACAGTTAACCATTGTTGGGGGCGATGATGGACAGTCGGGTCAAGGCACAATGCACAAGAGACCAGCACCGTGCACAGCTCACTCGGCACTTTTCACTTTAGACGCGCAGGAATCGTGTAATCGGGCCGGCTATGGATCTGTTCCTTTGACCCGCAGTAGAAAGCCTTAATGATGAGTTTTCAGCCCCAGTATGACAGCCCCGATGGCGTGTTGAGAGCACGAGAAGACAGGTTCATCTGCAAAGTGAGGGAGAAAGTGCAGAAAGATGGGTTGGAGAAGATTGCGGGCCTGGAGATGCAACACATTCCAAGATTATGGCAGATTCATAATACAGTGTAGAATCATACAGCCAGCTGTGAAAGAAGGTGTTACTTAAGTTTGAGGGCAAATACAGGGGTAAAAAAATCTACTTACTGCAGGAATGCATCGAGGCACATCTCCAGATATTGCAGGTTGCAATTGTGGGATTGCAGAACGGGTCAAATGCAGAGGACAAGTTTCCCTTCAGATACATTAAAGAACCTTAACCTTGTTTTCATACGTCGTCACCAAGTGAAAAATTGTACTGTGTTCTTTCCTCAAGATAGTGTTTAGCAACAGACTACCTCAATAAACACAAGACTGTTTAACATTGCTAGAGCACAGGCCACACTACCTAAAAGGTAATAATAAAATGTATCCAGTACCATCCAGAAAAATACAAATAAAAATTGTTTATCTGTTTCAAGTGAACTTATCTGTAACTTGAAACATGATTTGCCAATAGAACATGTAATACGTAGGGCAGCAAGGTGTCTGAGTGGGTATCCTCCAAATGCTCCGGTTTCCCTCAACACTAATAACATGCATAGCAGGTAAAATCCCGCAGCTCCGGTAGTCCTGACCAAGCTGAGTATCAACATCTGGAGATGGGTACCACTGCTCCTGACAGACGCCCTGTGACATTACAGGATGGGTCAAATGCAGAGGACAAAGTTCCCTGCTATGGGGATAAATAAAGTTCACATTTACATGTCTGTGCTGGATATAAGACTAAAGCTGGTTATTCCATTGTTTTTAAGAATGTCAACATGTTTTCAAATCAAGATCAAATCTACTCAATCCATTGTAGCACATTATGGTTGTTATGGCCTCTGGAAAAGCAGAAAAAGAAAATTAATAGTAACCATTTTCTTCCGCGCAATAAAAAAAAAGAAAAAGAATATGTTGCCCGTTGCCTGTAACCTTACCATAAAGATGCATTTAAGCGCACTGCTGGCTACATTACCATATAAAGCACATTGTCCATAGTTGACCTTTAAGGTGTTATTAAATCAAACTCAGAGCTTCACAAAAACACAATTACATGATAAAAATGTCTAACCTTTATGTTGCCGGCAGCATCTCCAAAAAGGTTCAAATGTGGATATTTTCTACTTAGTGCCTGTAATTGCACACCAACAATGTAGACAACTTCATAGTGAATCGGCAAAACACTTTGACTTAAAAACACAGGAAATACAACAAGAGTCACAATTTAAAGAAGATACAAAACCTTTATTTCCAAATATATCCCTTTGCATCCTATTTGACAAAACAAGTTCATAAATTACCATTTTAAAACCCCCACATTGATCAAAGTATGGATAATTTTCGATTTTACACTTGAGTTGCTATAAATCTTGTTTTAGTTGGAAGTGTAGCGTATGTCATTTTGAATAAAGATGGTAAAACAACTTGAAAATGTCATTCTAAAATAAAAAAAAATCACCAAGAAAATAATGGTAAATGCAGAAATCCAATTCCTCAATGTTGTAATTCCCCACAATCTCTATCCTTCAAAAGACACTTTCAGCACAAAACAAGCGGTGGAGGAGAAATACTGGTAGCGATATATTTATTTTTTAAACATTTCTCATTCCTTTAGTCCACACCTCAAAGTTACAAGCGGATGGTGAGTGCACGGACAAGGTTACAAGCCCAGTGGGAGCGGATAATGTTGCGTTGCCAGAGCCTCAGACAGTATTGTGCCTTATTAATCATTGATCTAGTGAGCGGTGTAGTTTTCAGAAGCCTGGGGATTGAGTTCACCGTGTCGAGGTGATGAGATAGGAGTTTTTTTTGTTTTTTTTAAAGCAAGCAATGTATAATTCAAACACAACAAGGATAGTGTTAGACATTCTCGCAGGCAGAGCTTATAAGGTTGGCAAGACTATAGAAATATGTTTATGGTACACTGCTTCTAAGGCAGGGAATGTTGTACAGTATGCTATCGAAACCAGGTATCGGATTTTAAACCATAACGAAAACCCCAAAAACTATAACTTCAGTAGTAAAATTTAAAAACATCTATTTTACTAGTTCCTTGTGTAGTTCTTCTGTAACTAGTTTTCACATGCATATATTTGTGGCCTCTGTCATATCATATTTAGATCAGCTTTCGTAGACAAAAAAGTGAAAAGAGAGGACCACTCTTGCTCAGCCAATCAGCTCTCAGCCCACTTTTTTTACCCCAATTGAGATAAACACAGCATGTTGTGGCTAGATTTTTTTTCACAAAATTTCCCTTTTACAAGACCTTTTCCAGAGGGACAAACCAAATGTATTCTTTATTTTTAAAAAAGTTTGGTATCCCACTTTTAAATAGAGTATAATACGTATGAGAGGTGTTTAGAGCGCTCTAATCTTGACTGTTTAGTTGGTTAAGCTGTTTTAAATATACTTTATTTACTTGAAAAGTTGGATAATATGTTAACATTTCCAATAAGATGACATCACAACGTCACATGTTTGTTCCAATGATTCGCACAAAGTCACACATTTGATTTCTCGTTAAACAATCATTCAACCGGACCAACCAGAGTTTATTCTTACGTTTATATTTTTGAATCATTAGTGGTTTTGGCATATGGCGTGTTAATTCATGTTGATTCAAAAATTTCAAGAATTTATTTGGCATTTGCAGTAAAACCACGTCGGAAAAACTGTGCAAGAATACCCCAGTGTGCACCAGGATAGCACACACCATAGCCCTCCATGTTTCTGGTGCCATGTGATGTAATTTTAAAATGTTAAAAGTTATTTGGAAAAAACTTTAGTCATAACAGCCGTCCAGCCATGTAATTAAGCATTTGAATTTCTCTAAAATGTCTAGTGTTTAAACAGCATTTTGCTTAGAACAAGAAGAAATATTGGTTGTTTTGATCATTTTTAGAGTTGAAAATTCACCGCTTCTAACCACTGCTTCAACCTACACACAGTATTCACTTAGCACATAAATATTACAAACAAAAAGTCCTTAAATCACAGTGATAGTTTACACATTGCAAGTCTGGTTAAGTCTTTACCCTCCTTTATACAGTACTTTTTGAGGCTTGTTTTTGGGATCCGACAATGTCTTCTCACTGGTCAAGACATTTGCTGCGACACATTTGGCATTTCCCCACTCGTCGTGTCTTAGCTGCAGACAGCGGAGTCGGAGAGAAACAGAAAATATCCATTCTGGGAGCAGCGCCTGTGCCCTTTAGTTCGTCCGGAGTTGGTAATCTGCCAAGAAATGTAACACAGCAGCATTAACACACACAACCGTCCCGCCCTCGTCACCTCCGCGCATCGCATCACTGCCAATAAGGGCCTTATTAATTCCCCAAACAAGATTCACACTAATACTAGCCCTAGAGCCGCTCCACTAAAATCAATTTACGGCGATTGAGCCCATTGAAATTCCACACAGAGGTTGGCGAAGTGTAGAGCTGTAGAGACAATACCTGGAAACGGCTTTGGCTCTCACTCCTAGTCTCTCACATAAACGCTTTTCTTCTTTTGTTTTATTATAAACGTCTTTCTATGCCAAAGTCGACTTCCTGACGCTTACTTTTAATAATAATAATAATAATACTGCATTCGTTTTATATAGCGCTCTTCAGGACACTCAAAGACGCTTCACATCTGTATTCTTTCACTCCATGGTGGTGATAAACTACTACTGTAGCCACAGCTGTCTTGGGGCACACTGACAGAAGCGAGGCAACCAGTCTGTGCCATCGGCCCCTCCGACCACCACCAACCATTCACACACACAACGATACGTTTGGCACTTTACAGCCATAGCCGCCCCACTGTGGCACCTGGTGTTCCCAGAGGTCTCCCATCACGATACTAACCAGTCCCTGCCTCTTTAACAATAGGGATTTATGTCGAGCTTGAGAAATGTATAGATACAGGATTTTGCAGGCATCATTGTAATCTATCACCACCATCCATCCACCCACCCATCCATTTTCTTCCGCATTATCTGTGTCACCATCCGAATGCAATAAAATGTGTTTTGAATGTATATTGATTCTACAGTATAATGTTGTGTTGCATCTTTTGGTGGAATGCAGTCACATGTTGAAACATCCAATACAATCCACTCATTCGACAGCTTTTGGAAACATTTGAAAACCTTTCTCATGACCAAAATTCATAGTAGAATGTTAACTAGCGTGATTGGAATAATTAACCAGAGTGAGCATGTCTGTTGGCGGGATGCCAAATGCTTCTTACACTTGCTCAGTGTAATCTGTCCACAGAAGGACTGCAGTGGTTCAAAACATACTTTACAGATCGGAGTTAGTGTGTGAGAACAAATGTTGCAATCTCCTCCTTAAAACCCTGTCCAGCAGGAGTCCCACAAGGGTCCATCTTGGGGCCCTTGTCGTTCAGCATTTATATTAATCAACTTTCTGGTGTGTGCAAAGATCTGGACGTTATTATGTATGTATGAAAACTACACACGTGAAAGGGATCCGCAGCAAGTGGCCTCAAAGTTGTCTCTTGCAATGGTAAAAATAGAAAATTGTGTTTAAAATTAGACAAGAGGATTGGAGCCAAATAAAACATTTGGCCTATTCTTTCATAAAACAAACAATACCAAAAATATGCTTAGCATCTATGTCGTGGAGTGGCTCTAAAATTGTTAGAGACAAAATACTAAGGGGTCTACTTGGACAAAACCTTGTCATTTAAGTAAATCAATAAAATAGAATGTGAGAAACAGTCAGAGTTGAGGCGACGTTCACCTATTTCAATGCCATGATTGTTCCACACGTTACATATTGTTTATCCAGCTGGTCTCAGGACAATGAGACTGCGCTCAAACCCCTTGGATCAGTGTTTAATCAGGCTTTAAAGGCACTGGACAAATGACACTAATAATTTAGCTCCACCTCTGCAAAAAATCTTTGTCAAACTTTGCTCTGAACAAATATCTCGATCGACCCAGTCCCCTGTGAACAACAACTGTGTGGTCCCAAAAAGAGCTACGGCTTTTGCAGAATCGGTCATAACACTATTAAACAGTGGAACCAGCTTCCAGACAGCTAAAATTTCTATTTTATTTTAGCATAAATTTGAAAAAGCACATTTTAGTCAATCGTGTCAACATCAAGGAACATTAATAGCTTTAGAAATTGTATTTGATTATTATAGCATATGCCATTTTAGAAAAAAACTATTTTTATGTAGTTATGGTTGTATTTGTTTTATTATGTGTTTATCTATGTGTGTTCTCTTCTTTTGTAAAGACTAATGGTTTTGTACATTGTCCCTGGTTTATTTACAATATACTAAACTAAACTAAACTAAACTAAACTTCCATGTCCTAGCTGCCCTCTCCTCTCTGCTGAAGGGAGCACTAAGAAAAAGGTGAAACCTTTTTCTCCACATTACTCTCACTTTCAGTCTGGCCTTCTCCTCTGCTGACGCTACAGCCAGCACATAGTAAGCTCCACTCTGCCCTGGGAGTCTGGCATCTGATGAGTCCACACACCCACGCTGCCAATGCCTGGTACCTGACAAAGCGATGTAGGAGAGACAGGAAGAACTGGAGGCTCAGTTCTCAAGGTATGTGGTTGATGGATATACTTTCTTTTAAATCTTTTGTTCCACTATAAGAAAAGCTAACCTTTCTATGCATCACAATCAAATAAAAATGAGAATATATTCATGTGGATACTGTCTCTACCTTGTGCTGATGATGAATTGCCAAAAATGAATCAAAATACTATTATTCTGACCCGATCACACAACATTTCCTTCGGATTCCAGACGGGTGGTTTATGCAGATTGTCATTCAGATTAGGGTACATGTAAAAACGTCTTCAAATGTTTGTGTTGAGATTAACTGCACATGTCTGTGATGTCAGCTATACGTCGGCGTACTGTACGTTCGCATTACGGAAGCATGTTGAAGCCATGGCAGGAGGCATGAAGCAGAACTGGTCTGTATCCAAACTAAATGTGAGCTAATAAAAGAGCTAAGAATTGTTGAACGTCTCAACGGTAGAAAGGCTAGTAACTCAAGAGTTATTCAGTTTGTTTCTCTAAAACATTATTCAGAGTCTATAATGTATCAAGTTCCAAGTTCAAATGCGCTGCTCGGCCGGGGTTGTTTCCCAGCTGTGTGAAGAAAAAAAGTGTGAATTTTCTGACCTCCACTTCCCCTTACCTATATTTGGACATGGACAGTAGCTGAGAACAAACGTAAACAAGAATGGCGACGGGTCGACTAATGCTACGTGTGCTTTGAGCGTTTCACGGAGGAGAATTCTACTCCTTCGTCCAAACAAAAACACACAAAGCTGTAGTTTCAGTCTCCATTTTCGCTGCTTCTGTTAAATGCAGAATGATGTTGGTGCATTCTTTCACATCTTTGCGGTGGCCTGAGGAGGATGATGTTGAGGAAGTGATTATACTGGTGGGGGTCGCCTGTGTTGTTTTGTAACGTTCCACTGTCCCCTACTGGCCGGGCGCTTGAACTACATCGTGCAAATTGCTTTGCAGCGTCTCTGCAGCTTCTCCGTCTAAACAGGGCCTTAAACGGCTCGAGTTGATCTGTTGCCGATTGACCACTGTCTTAAATTAACAATAGCGGCTTCAAGGGCATAACACGGGACACCATCCCAAAAATAGACTCTTTGAACTATGTGTTCTAGCAGAAACACAAATTAAAATCTGAAAATGCCAGCCATTGTTTCCCACCACACAATGCCCTCACTCTCCTTCTGTCGTCAAGACAGTTGCAAAAGCCAAATCTGAGCAGACACCGGAGTGTGCCAGCTGTCTGACAAATGGGAAATCATTCTCCAGCAGCAGTAGAATCACAACACCTACATGTGCCACCCGCCGTAACAGTAGTTTGGAAATCTAAAGTGCTTCTTAGCTGAAGGCCTGAATGGGGAATGATAAGACTGAGCTTGCAGGCTTGTAAAGTTCTCTTCTCTGGCATCCAGCGTGGGTTCATTTAAAGCCCCCCGAGAACTCAGACCCGGCCCGACAGCGCCAGGTAATGGATATGATGGATGCTGCACGCTCCAGTTCACTCAAAGGCCACACGCTTAATAGGGGCTCTAGGAAAGTCTTCATGGCATCCGCATTCTAGTGCCACATGATCTTACTGTTGTGTTAGCAATAAGCAGAAAAAGTAATATTTGCTATAAAACAACCTGGATTTTGTGTCAGATATTGAAAATCCCACATGGCGACGCGCTGTGATGGTGCTGGTAAAAGTAAAATAACAAACAGATAAAATATTGTGTTGTTTTCTGGTTCCCCGGTGTTCTGTGAGAATACTCCAGCAACTGCCAATGTCTACAGCATGATAATTAGGCCTGCAATCAAAATTAAACTTTTTTGCCATATCGCCCAGCCCTACTCTCAATATAAAAAATTGCATTCCAATCACCAAGTTGGTGATATATAAGCACAGCCCTTGTGGTAATGACAACAAAAGCTAAAAATTCAGATTCAGATTCATTTATTTGCCATTTGCAGTAACACTACATTGGAATACATTAGTAAAAGTTCCCAGTGTGCACAGGACAAGTACAGACATAAAACAACAATGTACTTTTATTGTGAAGTACATTCACAGTACAAAGTTCTTTTATGTTTTTGACGGCTTAGTTAAGTTGTTGTTTCCCTAAAAGAAACGAGGAAATCACTTTACCCTGAGATCAAAGTCTCAAATTCTTCAAATTCTTTTACTGCACCAGTCCACTCAGGCTCAACATTTGAACACAGGCTTTATACAAATATACTGTAATTAACATTATGTTGAAAACATATCATTATTGCAATATTGATAAGTGCAAAATTGATGAGGAATAATTGTATCCTGTATATAAATCATGTGTTTTTTCATGCTTTGTGAGTTGCTGCTAGAGCCCACAGACTCTCTTGGTACAGTGGCTGGAAACATGGCAGGAGAAGAAAGACAAAAATGATAGCGGCATCTACCTAAAAATGCTGCTGTTCCAAAATAAATATTGAATTATTTTTTTTTAATCCATGACACAACTTATTGCACTTTGATAGTGTCCAGTGGCAGCAACACATCCATCCATACAAACACAATACATACATTATTATTTGCAATACTTTTTTCCAATATTGTGCAGCCCTTGTTAACTTGGTGAACAAATTCTTTAAAATCATAGTTTCTTCTGCCTCTTCCAGCCCATATACCAGACTGTCGACCATATTTCATTATTTTGCTCCAGTGCTGACACTGCATTATCCTTGCATCATTTGAGTCAGTCTCACAGCAGGTACAATGTCTGTGCCGGTCCAGTCTGCTCCAGTCTGCTCCACTCTGTTGAGTAACTCCACTAAATTGGCAGAAGGAGGGTTTCCCATATGGCAGAGTAGTCTCTCAATAAGACTCCAGCAAGAGGTACCCTTCTTCCTAAAACGTCTTGTCAAGTTTAAATGGAAACAGTTGAAGTATGTTGCCCTTAAATGGCACGCGCGGACACAGCATTTGGAGAGTAGTTAACCTTTTGCAAACAGATGGGTTAGGACGAAGCTTTTGGAAACTAGTACTGTAAGTCCCTGCATAATTAAAGTGACTTTTATTCAAGATACCAGTGCATAGTGACCTTGACCTTTCAATGCCAACATCTTAATGCGGTCCTTTAAAGATGAAGACTCCCAAAGAACCAAAATAAAACTATTAGCATTTTGTCTTAGTCTGTACTTGAGCAAGGTCTGATGATGAAAATTCTTCTCATACAATATTTAGCAGATGAGTTGGAGCAGTGTCTTCTTATAACACCATGGAAAAGTAGATTTTGTGTTTAGACATTTTTGAGGCAGCCTTCTCACTCACCTCCACTTTGTGTGATGTAGCGCACCCACGGCAAAGCCTGGTAACCACTCTTCTCTATAATCTTGAGGTATCTCACCTACATGGGAAAAATAAGAATATCTCAAGGCCAATTCAGTGCAACAGTATGGAGTGTAATACAAAACAAATCAACAACATCAGAAACAACAAACGCTTTCCATCTTAACTCTGTGCCATTGTAACATTAAACTTTAAATAAGAAATAATAGCTGCCCTCAAATTTGAAATGGAGCTGAAATGTTTCTCAGGTAATTTTTGTTTTATTTGTACTTAGGAATAATATGATGGGTTTGTGTCTATGTCTGAGAGTGCCTAACCTCAAGCCTGCCCAAAATCACCAGTTTGTATTTTTATATTGTAAGATGAAATAATTAGATCAAATTGACATGTACTGACAATAAATACAGTATATGGAACTTTGTGACTCTTTACAGACAAAACCACCCACACCCTCTCCAGAGACCACATCACCCCCGTCCTCAAACAACTCCACTGGCTCCCTGTCCCATATGGGATCCAATACAAGGTCCTCCTCCTCACCTACAAGTCCCTCCATAACCTGGCTCCCTCTTACCTCACTGACCTCCTCCATCATCACTGTCCCACCCGCCGCCTCAGATCCACAGACTCCAGAAACTCCAACCTCCTCACTCCCCTCAGGACTAAACACTGACCCTTGGGGGACCGAGCCTTTGCCGCAGCTGCCCCCACTCTCTGAAACTCACTCCCACAACCCGCCAGAAACTCAGACTCACTACAGGACTTTAAGTCACTTCTCAAAACCCACCCGCTGTATGTTGCCTTTCCTTAATTTTGCTCTTCTATGTTTATTTTAGATGTTTTGCAACGCAGCTTTGAGTGTCCAAAAAAGGCGCTATATAAGTTTGATGTATTATTATTGTCATCAAAACTAAGAAGTCTACCAATGGTTACCAGGAACACATTTCCCACTGCCCACAACACAACACAACACAAACACAGAGAGAACACAGAACTCTACATATTTTTATATATATTACTTAAATGTCTCTGAATGAGATCAGCTCTGTCACTTATGTGTACTCTATCTTTTCTTGTCACATTTTTAACCAAGAACTTTTTTTAGGGCTTTGGTCATACTCAAAAATGTGAATGAGAACAAATTCATGTCGATTCTCTGAAATATTCAGCAGAAAATGGCCTCTCTCTTGAGTTGTTGTTGCTCAGATTTTATATATGAACTAAACCCCTATAAATTTAATCTTTCATCATCTTTCTCTCTCAGTCGCAAGAGGTATTTCAATTTTATGAGACTTGACATAAATTCGATCCAACGTATTCCTGGCGAAAAGATCCTAAAGTAAGCCTCTTTGTAAACTGCGTGTACTTTCTGACTGAGAGAAGACTTAATAGGTTATCCATTGAGTCTGCTATTTGCTCTTTCACTCCATTGCACTGCTGCGAAAAAACCATTGGATCTGAACAGGGAAGGTAAGTAAACAGTGAGAAATACCTGTATGCCAGACACAGTGAAATATGGGATCTCAAAGTTAACAGTGATGGGTCTTTTGGCTTCCATCTCGTCCCCGTCCACACTGGGCAGGCCAAAGTGGGCGCGCATCATGTACTCCTTACCGCCCTGAGTAAGCAAATTATAAAAGAGAGGCAGTTAGAACAGCTGGTGAATAATAGACTAACATGCATCAATAATCACAGCTAAAGACACGTTTCTTTGCTCTGGCTTTTTAACTCAAGCTAAAACTGACACTCTTATGATGGCGGACTAGTATCCTGTGTTTTATTTGTGTTATTTTTGTAATGTCTGGATAGAACTTTTTGGCACTCATGTCTGTTGTTTTTAAATGTGTTATAAGAATAAACTTGACCTTGGCACATGTTGAAGATACACTGTAAAGGTTAAAGGTTGTGGTGGTGTTATGACACACTTGAACTTCAGAACAAACACATTATCTTTGGGCGGCACGGTGGTTGAGTGGATAGCACTCTCAGCAAGAAGGTTCTGGGTTCGAATCCCAGTCGGAACAGGGTCTTTCTGAGTGGATATTGCATGTTCTCCCCGTGTCTGCGTACGTTTCCTCCGGGTACTCCGGTTTCCCCTACCACTAAAAACATGTGCAATAGTTCAGGGTGAATAAATGAATGAGTGTGTGTTTGTGAGTGCGAATGTGTGACAACGGATGGAAATAAGCACATCGCTACATTCCGGAGTGATGTGTTCATTAAAATGTACTGTCCCAACCAAATAAACAATAATATACTTAAATAAAATAGGAGCGTAAGTATAAATCTTTCCCTCCTGAGTGTACATTTAATATTATCATAGTTACAGCATGTTGTGTATATTACTCTGAGGTGCCTAGCTTCCAATCCATAAACAATGGACCCATGTATTGAAAAGGATGTAATGAGTTCCTTTTTAGCAAACTAGAAAATACAGCATTTTATACTTGCTCATTATGCTAAAGTCAGGGGTTTTTCTATTTCATTCTTGCTTCTTCATCATGCTAGAGTTGGAGAATTTAAGACTTATTTCCTTGTAATGCTATATAAATTAGATTACCGCTTCTTTTTATGGTAGAGTTTGATATTTTATTTTATTTTAGTATAGACTGGGCGGCACAGTGGCTGAGTGGAAAGCACTCTCGCTTCTCACTAAGAGGGTCAGGTGCTCCGGTTTCCCCTACCACTATAATCATATATAATAGCTCTGGCATGTGCCTCCTGTACGGCGACCTCTCTTCCATCTCTGTGTGAAGTCAGAGACAAATGCCCACAATTGTAAAGCGTTAAGTGACTCTGATCTGTGAAAGGCGCTATATAAATAAAGATTACCTATTTACTTTCTACTAGAGTTATTCATTTATCTTGTGGGGTGTGCCCCTCATAGATTAAACAACTCTTCCTGAGAGCTTCCTGAGAGCAGTGGTAACAACCTGGAGCTGAACGCCCAGAAGACAGTGGAGATGATTGTGGACTTCAGGAAGAGCACTGTCCCCCCACCCCCACCTTCCGTGATGGACTCCCCCATCACCTCTGTGGAGTCCTTCCGTTTCCTGGGCACCACCATCATCCAGGACCTCAAGTGGGAGCCGACCATCAGCTCCCTCATCAAGAAGGCCCAGCAGAGGATGTACTTCCTGCGGCAGCTCAGGAAAGCCAAGCTGCCTGCACCGATGTTGGTGCAGTTCTACACGGCCATCATCGAGTCCATCCTCACCTCCTCCGTCACTGTGTGGTTCGCTGGAGCCACAGTCAGGGACAAACAGAGACTACAGCGCATTGTGCGCTCTGCAGAGGAAGTGATCGGCCGCAGCCTTCCATCGCTGCAGGACCTGTACGTCGCCCGAGCTCGAGGCCGGGCTGGTCGTATCACAGCCGACCCCTCTCACCCTGCACATGGACTATTCCACCCCCCACTCCCCTCAGGCAGGAGGCTGCGGTCCATCAGGACTAGAACCTCCCGCCACAAGAACAGTTTCTTCCCCTCTGCTGTTGGACTCTTGAACACTTCTTAACCTGTCCCCCCGCCCTTTTAAAGTCACTTTACTGCCCATCATGCGTCACTTTACTTCACTGTACTGCTGTCACCTTACATTGTGTGCACCATGTGCACTTGTATATTGTAAATAGTAACTGTAACTCTATTTTAAATTTATTCTTTAGAAGTGTTTTTTATTCTTATTTTTATTATCTCTTTTTGACTGTTGCACTGAGCCAAAGCAATTTCCTAGTCTGTGACCTCCTGTTACTTACGTGGCAATAAAAAATGATTCTGATTCTGATTGCTCCTGTAACTTGTTATGCAACACTGAAATGTCTGCACTCTCTTAATTAAAACGGTTCTATCACTAGTTTTTACATTCATTTTTTCTGTCCTCTGTCAAATCTTTGATAATCTTTTTCAGGCAAAAGAGTGAAAAAGAGAGGGCCACACCCAAAGCGTCAAATACTGACTCGCAGGGCTTTTTCTAACAGTGAGTTCTAACTAGTTTTCCAAGTTTGGACACAGAATTGTGGTCCATTTTACGATGAACAAACGTTTATGAATGCCTGCAGCTTTAAGGACAGCGCCTAGCACATTCTCTGTTATTATTTATTTAATCTTGAACTCATACACAACAAAAAGGTCCATATAACACAAAAACAAACAATATTTACATCCTGTTGAGACAGTTTATCCAATGCCTAACACTGCTCTGTTATTTTGTCTAAGTTTCAACAAGAAACTACTACATCTACTTTCTCCAAAATCATGAATTTTTCAGGCTTTAAAAAGTTAGCCACCAATGTTTGTGTCTGTCAGCTGCAACAACCCTCTATTATAAGCATGCACCCCGTGAGAATACGTAATTCCACAGTGTTCAAAGGTTGACGGTGACACAGGGAAAATTGCTGCCCAGGCTGGATGATAATGGATATCGTAAACCCTACTTGACAGGCGTGAGGTATAATGAATTACTCCGGCGATATCCAAGCTTGACAGATAAAAGAAACATCAACTGAATTAATGTGCTACATGTTTTTGAAGATTGCTAGGACTTTGGCGACAGTATAGTGTTTTATCAGAAGAGTGGGAATATGCGTGTGTGTGTGTGTGTGTGTGTGTGTGTGTGTGTGTGTCTGTGTGTGTGTGTGTGTGGGGTCGATGAGAACATGATAAATAGCTGCTGTCTAATATCTGTCACACTACTCCACTTTCAATGTCTTTCGTGCAGAGATAAGATTTAGCATAGCACAGCTGTTTGCCTCAAAATTCAGATAGCGCTGAAATGAGATAATTAAAATAAAATGTTAAAGAGTTTTCATATAGTTGTATGCATTTACAAGGAGGCTGGGTACACTGGCCGGGTCTGTCGCTCGCAAATTACCATAAACAGTGCATTAAACTGTAACTGGCTGTCGAAGTCAAAGACAGGACATACTGTACGTCGCAGAATAAATGACACAACACAGTTACTCATAAGAATCATTCTATTAGATTCTACTGGTCCTATTGTGGATGGGAGCAGGAGAGTGGCCGTAGTATTTCCCCTGATGGAACCACAGAACCTTGAAAAGGACAATGAACAAAAAACTTACAATCACATGCAAGTCCTCATTATACGGCTTGTACATATATTCACCAAACTACTACAGAAGACTGGAAGAATCCCAACCTGGGGTCTCTACCTATGGACCAATTGACCAGATGCATCGACGTCATCCAGTCACGTGATTGTGCATGAGCTAACGGCGGAAGTAGTGGAAACTAGCATTGCGGCGAGAGCAAAACGGACTCCAAATCTTAAAAACTGAGCTTCCTCTCCTAAATTGAGAAGTGGCTGCTTCAAGCACATGCTTGATTACGTTATTGGTGGAAGTAGGACATCTTGTCAGGGCTCACAAAGAGCAGCGGCTACAAAGCAACTAAATATCAGTTCAGGAAAGAACTGAAAGCAGCCAAGTCCCGGCACAGAGAACGACTACAGGAGCAGTTTGGTAACAACGATACTGCTTCTGTCTGGAGGGGCCTACGGGAGATCACCAACTACAAGCCCAAAGCCCCCCCCTGTGCTGACGACCACAAGCTAGCTGACGAACTGAACTTATTTTTCAGTCGCTTTGATGCTGCCCCTGACACCTCTCCCTCCCCCACCCCCCACTACTCTAACGACCCACCCATCAGCCCTGCCCCCAGCCTAACAATAGCCTCTAAAGATGTTAAACAACTCTCCTTGAGGCTGCACCCCCGCAAAGCTCCTGGCCCGGACCACGTGTCTCCGGCCACTCTGAGACACTGCGCCAGTGAGCTTACTCCTGTGTTCACTGACATTTTCAACACCTCTCTGCAGTCCTGCCATGTCCCGGCCTGCTTCAAATCCTCCATCATTGTCCCCATCCCGAAGAAGCCCAGGATCACAGGACTCAACGACTACAGACCTGTAGCACTTACGTCTGTCGTCATGAAGTCATTTGAACGCCTGGTTCTCTCCCATCTCAAGTCCCTCACCTCCCCCCTCCTGGACCCCCTGCAGTTCGCCTACAGAGCCAACAGATCTGTAGACGACGCTATTAACCTGGCCCTCCACCACATCCTACAGCAGCTGGACTCCCGGGGACCAACGCCAGGGTCCTGTTCGTGGACTTCAGCTCTGCCTTCAACACAATCCTGCCATCCCTGCTCCAGGACAAGCTCTCCCAGCTCAACGTGCCCGATTCCACCTGCAGGTGGATCACTGACTTCCTGACGGACAGGAAGCAGCGAGTGCGTCTGGGGAAGAATGTCTCGGACTCTCGGATTATAAATACAGGAGCCCCACAGGGCTGTGTTCTTTCTCCCCTGCTCTTCTCCCTGTACACCAACCACTGCACCTCCAGCCACGACTCCGTGAAGCTGATCAAGTTCGCGGACGACACCACCCTCATTGGACTCATCTCCAACAACGATGAGTCCGCCTACAGGAGGGAGGTGGACCGGCTGGTGTCCTGGTGCAGTGGTAACAACCTGGAGCTGAACGCCCAGAAGACAGTGGAGATGATTGTGGACTTCAGGAAGAGCACTGTCCCCCCGCCCCCACCCTCCGTGATGGACTCCCCCATCACCTCTGTGGAGTCCTTCCGTTTCCTGGGCACCACCATCACCCAGGACCTCAAGTGGGAGCCGACCATCAGCTCCCTCATCAAGAAGGCCCAGCAGAGGATGTACTTCCTGCCTGCACAGATGTTGGTGCAGTTCTACACGGCCATCATCGAGTCCATCCTCACCTCCTCCGTCACCGTGTGGTTCGCTGGAGCCACAGTCAGGGACAAACAGAGACTACAGCGCATTGTGCGCTCTGCAGAGGAAGTGATCGGCCGCAGCCTTCCATCGCTGCAGGACCTGTACGTCGCCCGAGCTCGAGGCCGGGCTGGTCGTATCACAGCCGACCCCTCTCACCCTGCACATGGACTATTCCAACCACATGGACTATTCCAACAGGACTAGAACCTCCCGCCACAAGAACAGTTTCTTCCCCTCTGCTGTTGGACTCTTGAACACTTCTTAACCTGTCCCCCCGCCCTTTATAAGTCACTTTACTGCCCATCATGCGTCACTTTACTTCACTGTACTGCTGTCACCTTACATTGTGTGCACCATGTGCACTTTTATATTGTAAATAGTAACTGTGGTTAGTATTAGATAGCAATATGGCCTACGTGCAGGACTGTACAAGGACTCTGAAGATGACTTCATGTTTTGACTATGATGTGACTGTCTCTGTGTGACACGTATGTCTTTCCATGTGTGACGTGACAATGACTATATAAACTGTGTACTGCCTTTATTCTGTCTGAGAGAAAGAAACAATTGAAACCACTGGAACTTGAGAGAAACTTAAATAAACTTCCAGAGTTTAGCGCACCACGATCCGTCTCTTTCTGCTTCCTCCCTGACACTGTAACTCTATTTTCAATTTAAATTTATTCCTTAGAAGTGTTTTGTATTCTTTATTTTTATTATCTCTTTCTGACTGTTGCACTGAGCCAAAGCAATTTCCAAGTCTGTGACTTCCTGTTACTTACATGGCAATAAAAATGATTCTGATTCTGATTTGGAGAAGTTAAGGATGGATGTTGACCCATACCTTCTCCCCCAGTCAATTTTATCGATTAAATTAAATGTCTAATTTTTCCCCGAATTCACCCCACATGAGCGCATTAGCAATAGTCCACTTTTCTGTGGCTTTTCTGTCTACAGCCAAACATGATACATATTGACGAAGAGGAAAATAGTGAAAAACGCAACTGACTGAAGATGAGATAAGAGATCCTTTATTTGTGACACAGTGGGGAAATTTCAATGTTGCAGCGCACATACAGGACAGTAGTAAGAGACACGTTTGACTTGTATGTGATCTATATTTTTTTGTGTCTTAACTGTTGATTCTCTGATCTGTGTTGATGATTTCAACGTTTTGTTAGGTCCTACGAGATGACTACTGTTGTGATTTTGGGCTAAAAAAATTAATTGAATTTAATTTAATTGAAATTGAACCTAACTCAGAGTTTATTCTTTGACACTACTTTCACAAGACCCAGTTATTATCATAATGTTTTGTTGTTACCCCCAGTGTTGGGTGCAACAACAAAACTACTTTTTTTCCGGAGAAAAGTAAAGTAATGCGTCAACTTTCGACAATTAAGTAAGAAAAAGCTGCTTGTTTTTTGAGTCGTTGTGATGTTACAGTACTTTTTATTTACCAAGACCACTCATGTGCTGGCGCTTGCACATCAGTCACGACTTGCTCGCAAGTTCTCAGTCCACAGTATGTGAAGCAAGAGGCTGTGGCCGTCAGTGGTGGAGCTGCTTATCACGGAGTGTCGCACTTTAAACTCTGAGCCTGATCTCCTGTAAGTCCCTCAGAGTCTGCGCTAAAGGACGTAGCGTCCTCCCCCCGTCTGCCTCACTGACGCTCCTGTGAGCGGCAACTTGTCTTTGTTTATTCTTAGCTGCTCTTCATCATGGGGTTAGACCCTAAAGCGATTCTCCCAAGTGAGAGCTGTGTTCATGAACTAAAACAACCCCATGTTTCAGGCTCTGGTGTTTTTGATCATAAAGAGATGAAAGAAATATCTGTTGATCTTCCACAACACATTTAAGAACAGTTCAGCTCAAAGTCGAGCATCATAACAGTGACACAAAAGTAACGAAAAAGTAACAAGTAAGTAAAGTAAAAGGTTCCAGGTCAGTAACAAGAGTTGAGTAAAGTTACTTTTAACTTCCCCAACACTGGTCATAGTAAACAATGTCTACAACATACAAAAGAGAAGTGTATTCACAGGTGACAAATATGATCATAATCACCTTGACATGTGCATCGCATATGTAAGGTGTGTTATTAATAAAATCTATTATTATTATCATTATTAATAATCAAATGGAATACGTTTGTTGATGTTACACTTACAGGGAAGGACTTGATATTCCACTGCACCGCACTCTTCTCAGGGAGCCATTTGGCGTTGCCCATGCTCGTCTTGAATTTGGGCGAGTCAGCGTCACTGGGCACTGGCACCAGGATGGAGACATTGTTGGCAGTTGATCGACTTTTGAACTGACTTCTGGCCTGAGGGAGGATGACAGAGGAACAGTGGGTCAAAAGATCAGAGAGTCAGATTGAGACCGAAAACATGCAGGGATTCATTTTGCTTATGCATTCTGTTTTGCACTGGTTGTTTTGGAGTTTGCTGTGTCAGAACAGATGGTGGGAGCTATAATCCACCTGAGACGCATGTGTCATAAATACTAAATAAGTCTCAGGGACAAACTGGGAGGTCTGCTGAGTGCAGAGAGACAACAGGGAATCTATCTGTGTGTGTGTGTTTGTGTTTGTGTGTGTGTGTGGTGTCAGTCTCCCAAGTCACATAGTCACCAGAGATATGTTTGACCAATGCGTTGTATTCACAGGTCATTATAACAGCTGGAGGGCAGTCAAGTTTTTGTTGACCTTTACACTCAAGCCAGATCAAACTCTCAATTCACCTGTTTAAGTTAGACCGTTGGATGGAATAATATCAATATTTTACCCACTGTAAAAAATATACAAACATCTACTGTACATTATAAACGTTACTTAAACCCAGAGAACATTCAAAATCAAATGTACATAGAGAGCCTGCAGTGTATTTGTGTTTGTGTGGCTGTCTTGTCAGTCACTTATTACCTTGACCTTGATCTCCACACGACTGTGAGAGAACTTCTCAATCACACTCTCAATCCATATCAGCGGCTTTACCTGTCACACAGAGCAAAGGCACAGATGGGTGAGGTCAGAGAGGAGCACAGGGACAGGCACAGAACACTTCTACAGATCCCGGGGCAGCACAGGCGCAAAACCACAAACCATTTCTTCTACCCTACACCAGATGAAAAGCTATTTGTTATCAACAATCATTATGGAATGAAAGAGCAATGTATTCTTTATGAATTCCTTATAAACCTTATTCTGTGTCTGTGCTGAAAATTATATTGCAAATGTTCTGCCTTTAGCACGGACTAAATATTAACAAATCTAGTCACACCTATCCGCCGTTGAAACTAATGTGCCGCCGCCTTCTGTGGACTGTTTTACTTATGACTAACTTTTTGCTTCCACATACCTTATTTTCCGGACATAAGCGGCACCTGATTATAAAACGCAGGCCATATTTTTTAGAAGGAATTTTAATTTTGTATGTGTTCAAGCTGCACCTGTCCCACGTTGTAATATTGAAAATGTAGCACAAAAACCGATTCAGATCAGATTCATTTATTTGCTATTCGCAGTAAAACCACATTGGAAAAACTGTGCAAGACTACCGCAGTGTGCACCAGGACGGCACACACCAGAGCTCTTGCCACGGCGCCATCTTTACGCCACGCGAAACGTTCATCATGTCTTCTTTTTACTGTGAGTGATAAGATTAAGAAGCGAGTCACTGACTGATTTTAATCTTCCAGTGTCGAGCAGAAAGAAAAGGCGCAACATCTACTGATCTGTTTTCACTTTCAGGTCTATACAAAGAACCAAAAAACGATTTATCATATGAAGTATTTACACAAATATATTGTAAGAGAGGACTTTATTTAATCTGCTTGATTTCCAAATATTACAATTTAATTGGACCTCTGTGAACTACTCATCAATTCTGTTGGTCAACTGTTACTTGGCAAAGTATTTTTGGCTCCACAGAAAAAAATAAGAAAAAAAAATAATATAAAGCTGCACCTTACTATAAACCGCTTTTCTGGATCCCTTGCTTTTCATAACAGAAGTTCTCAATTCACACTAGGAGAGTCTTGCACAGTTTTTCCATTGGTTTTGGCCCCTTTACACCCGTAAAAATCCAGCGTGTGAAATTAAATGAAATATTCAAAGTGATATAGACCTAAAATATGTATGAAGCTTGAAATTTGAAATGAAATGCAACCGTCTGATTAAAATGTGTGTGAGCAGATCCAGTCTCGTGTGTGTCCGTTCCACTCACTGTTGTGTTGAGGCGGTAGGACATGAGTTCGCTCTCGCCATCCGGTGGAATGAAAGAGATGGTGCGGTCGTTCTCAAAGCGTGACAGACGGACGCACTGATGAAACTTCACGTCCTCCAGCTCCACCGTCTTACTCTTCTCCCCTGAAAGCACAGAAAACACAAGCACACTGAGTGATTGAAAGCTTTCTGGGTATTCGCAGAGGGGGAGCTGGCAGTCTATTTGAGGAAAAATCAAGGTCAAGGAAATGATGATTGACAAACAGCCAGTCCATCTTCCACTGTCCCGAACGCACCTGGCTTGATCCTGTCCCACACCGATTACAATATTATAACTGCTGAAGGTGCAGGGAGGAAAACCTGCAGGAACCACCTTCGGTCAGCAGCTAAACTAAACTATCACTGCATGTGAATAAATATAAAATAATGTCAAATGTGAATTATGTTTTCTTTCTTACATGTGACTAATAAGGACATTTTCAGCTTTAAAATAGAAGTCATCATCAGCTACATAGTAAAATATTTTTGAACATAACTTTGCACTGTCTGAATAGATTTTTATGAAAAGATTTATATTGAATCATTTAAAGCTCAGAAACATTGCAGCTACTTATTTTGTATGTCATTTTGTGTGCTCCCTGTGTGCTCTGTCCTGTATGTGTGCTGCAACATTGAAATTTCACCACTGTGGGACGAATAAAGGATCTCTTATCTTATTTTATCTTATATGCTATTTTTGTTGTCGCAAAAACATAATATACAGTAGGGACATAGCAATAATCAACCATGACATTCATCACAGTAGATTCCGTTGTCTTTAACCATTTTTAACTTCATCAAAATGCAATATAACAAATGTAATACATCCCATATCCAGCCCTAAGCTTTCACTTTCTGCATACATGGCTTCTGTGTGATGTTGATGAGAAATGTACCCTCAAGTGAAAAGTGTCACACAGATATATATCTATCTATCTATCTAGTAGATGTGGTTAACCTGCTCATTGTGCGTTATTGATTTCACTTTATTGCTCGTGTGTGAGACTTGCTCAGGTGAGGTCCAATGAGAGCAAGGACTGAGCAATAACAAGACAGCAAAGCTATTACACGGAATTATTCATTTTCTCTCTTTTCCCCGTTTGGTTCTGTGTTATTGTCGCAGACTTTTGCACTGCCAGCGCCGTGTTATTGCTACAGAAAAGGTCATTTGGGACGTCCTGCCAACGCAACAACCTTAGGGCGCAGACACAAAGACAGGTGCGGTGTTGTGCACATGTCAAAGCCCTATTGAAAATGCAGGAGCTGTCCCCCGAGGCAAACCCGTTGGCTGTTCTGCTTTCTTCACTGCTAATACACAGGATGTACCTAATCTGCTTTCTGTCGGCCTCAGAATGAATTATGGTTCATATTATTCCTAAATCATTTGATAACGAGATGGTATAGCGGAAAGACATGCCCAAAAGACCATATCAACCAGTGTGTTTTGGAAAATGGGTACATCAACCAGTTCAAAATTCTAAGTTCAAAGAAAAATGGAAAAAGAAAGTAAGAAAAGGAATCATCTTCTGTTCACATTCTTCAAAATTGTGACCACACTTTCAAAGCCCAAAGTTGCTTACAATATGTAATAATTATTTTTGACGTTAAATAGTTAAATAGTGAGTGTAAGAACTGTGAACCCAACAATGGGAGATTTCAGATGAAGCAGAAGGTAACAAACTTTTTTTTTTTGTCTAATTATCTCGGTTAAGTTTGCATTAAGTTTGTTCAGTTGTTCCCAGTTGCCCACTCACAGCTGTTATTAGGAAAGATCTTATTCATTGATGGTGGAGAAGGCTGTCTCCATGGTCACCAGAGTCTGCACCAGGTATAAGTAAATGTTTGAGGATGTATTGAGCTGAATAAACACATAGATAATGCGAGTCCCATCTCTTCACAAAATACAAAAGGAGCACTATGCAACATTTCTGGTGGAGGGTCTGCCACCTGCACATCTGCACACCTTGCCTTGCTTTTGCTTAGCCTACAGTGTGGCAAGTTTGTGTGTGTGTGTGTGTGTGTGTCTAGTCTGACTTTAATGGTGTGTCAATCAATCAACCAACTTTTATTTGTAGAGCGCCTTTCCTCCAATCCCTGTTCAAACCATATACATTCGTTTTATGTGAATATTATTTTTCAAGTCCTGCGCAGGTTGAAAAAATATACTAAATTCAGTTCAAATAAATAAAACTGAAAAAATTCAAACCACTGAGTTACATTTTTAACATCATAAATAATGCTCCAAAATAGTTTGTATGTTAGAACAAATCTAAACATGAGCATAACACGCATGCCAAATTCATCACCAAAAGCTGTTTCAAAATATGTGTCATCTGATTAGAAGCCACTAGAGGGCAGTAAAGCAGCTGCGGACAAATGTGCCGTTTTCAGCAGCATCCAACTGAGATAAAAAGTGCAACTCATGCCTGGTGATGAAGCGAGAATGACTGCAAAATGAGGAGCAAAGTTGTTTTAGAAATGTGAGCGTTAAGACATGTAAATATCTGTGGAGAGATTCCGCTCACGTTCGCACTTGCACTCTTGTTTTTGATCATTATTCCCGATCATTATTCCCGAGGAGGCTCAGACGCGGCGGGGGGGATACAGGGCTGCGTATAAAATATATCCACCGCGCCACACCTTTTATCTGGCAGGCCTGTAGCCACGGGCGAGGATTAGCGCCCAGACAGCAGAGCCTTTCCCCTTTCGTGCAAATCAGTGAGAGGGAAATGGAGAGTGTCCGACGAAACGTGTCACGGTGAGGCTTTAGTGGAAGTATCTGAGAGCCACTGAAGGAGGGGGAGAGATTAAAAGCCAAGACTTGAATTGTACAAAGCCCAGAGGAAAAAAAAACTAAGCCAAGGTGAAGTGTAAAAGGTCAGTTTGAAGTTGGAAACTACAACATTAAACGAACACAAACAGCTAGAGACAGAAAAGCCCTGATAAGCTCAAATCTCTTTGGCTCAAAAATGATAGTGATAGATTTGAAATGAAGATTTAATACTTTTTAGGGCAGTAAACATGTTAAAAGGTATATGAGGATTTTCCCAAATTTTAGGAAAGAGCCCTCTCCACTTTTTGAACAAAACTCTCTGGTCTTAAATGACGAGCACGTATCACCAGAATGATTGACAGCTGGGAGGACCAATAGTTTTGATGATCCACCCAGAAGCAGGAAATCCTCCTATATACCTTTAAATTGATCAATTGCAACTAAGATTGAAATAGTTGTGAAACTGTTTTATCATTCACTAATACTAATACTAACTTTACATAGACCTGAACATAAGAAGAAAAGGTTTTATGACTCTAAAATGAAACTACAATGTGTTTACAAAGTTTGTTATATTAAACAACCCAATGTGTAACAAGTCTCAAGTCTCAATGAAGATGTTCTCCAAAGGCATCACATGAGCTTTGTTTTGATGAATAGAAAAATATATCCATGAACCTTTCAGGATAACTGGCAACTTATTATTGTTGGAATAAATCTACAAACAAATTTAACATCAAAATCATAGTTAATTATAGCCCTAATACTTTTTAAAGGGCCTAATTTATAGCTGGGGCACAAAAATGTCCTTTAACGTTTCAATTATGATGAGGTTCGTATAAAAAGCAAAGAGACAAGGATATATGGCGTAAGAATAAGACATAGACATGATCAGTTTGCAGTCAGCCTTTGCACACACAGCACACACCAAGGAACAAAGACTAGTATTTTGTCGACATCTACAGGACAATAAGAAAACTACAACTTGATACATTACCACAGACATCCTCTCCCACCATTTCTCACTTACATTTCCACTGTAGAAGGTGGATATTGGCTGGGCTTAGATAAAGATTACAGATGAACAGTCTAGTATTTTGTCGACATCTACAGGACTATGAGAAAACTACAACTTGATAAAAAACCACAGACCTCCTCTTCCACTATTGTGTACATTTATTTTTATTGTATGGTGGGTGCTAGGGTTTAATATTTTTCCCGAAAATGAGACGTATCAAATCCCGGGAAAAGACGAGGCCTTTGTTTGTAGTTGTTGTTTTTAGCCCAAGTAATGTATGATATCACTCAAATATATAATCCAACAAAAGCTGCCATCTCCACTAGTGTTTCACCAAGCGACTTGCTAGCTTTGCTAAAGTAGCCATAGCGTTTTCAGACGTTTTCTTGATGGGCTTTCTTCAGGAATTTCACTATTATGAGATTCTAAATGTCTGCGCAATCCACTTGTCGACCAGTGACGTGTGTGTGGTTTGGAGGCACTGACTTCAGCCCTGTCAGATGAACATATATCATATAAATCAACAGAACCTACAGAGCGGCTTATTCACAATTAGTTTGGCTACAGCAGAATGTTTTCCATGGCCCGCATTGTTTGCTCAAACAAAACGCAAAAGTTCGTAAAAGGCACATTTCCAATTGTGTTATGGGTCTTACCTTAGTTATTAATAAACAGCACAGACCACTTCAGTTCAGACCAGTTTCATGTTTAAGTCCATATAATAGTTTGAGCGCTGATATGTAATCCCCCATTTGGAAATAAGCCCAAAGAGTTTTAAAGCGTAAAACAAAACGGGTGCCACCTCCATAAACTCATCTGTGTTTTCGCTGCAGCCGGCTCTCGGGCGCATCCAATTTCTAATATCAACCTTCTTACCCTTCTCCTCTCTTCCTTATCATTCCTATCGTCATTGGAAGCAGAACATTACCCTAAATGCATTTTATATTATCTTAAAATGTGTTATATGTATGTTAGCCAAACCTGTTGCTGCCCTTAGCAGATGGAAAAAAAGAAAGGAGCTTTCTGATAGAATTGGATGTAGCCGAATTCTGGGCTCACATGTGCCCCGTACCCTGAGGCTGGCCTCATTACAAATTGTGGTTTAGCGCGATTAAGACCCATATTTGTTGTCAAATACACAATTCATGAGCCATCCTCTCAGCTGTAGACATGTTGATTGTAAATGAAATATGTTTGAACTTTGAACAACAATAAACGTGCTCTATAATAGGAGTGCACTGGAATTTTTTTTAAACTTTCATTTCCCGTTTCCCATGTCATATGTCATAACATTTCCTGGGAATCGGGAAATAGTTTTGATCAGATTTCCCGGGAATCCCGTGTCCCGGGATTAAACCCTAGTGGGTACTGGCTGGGCTTAGATAAAGATTACAGAGGAACACATTGTTACTTACTGCCTGTGATCTCGAAAAGCACCTTGTCGTTGAGGCCCAGTCTGAGCTCAGGCATCCCAGACAACACCACTTTGAGCTTAATGCTTCCCACGATCTCACTGCAAAGAACACTTCCGTTTGCACTCACCTGAAGAGACAAAAAAAAAAATGTGACAAATTAGTTACATCATGACAAAACCAGGTATTGGCTGAAATTGAGAATTCACATTGTTATATTAATTTTATATGTGCCATAAAAACATCTAAATAAATGTTCTTTTTTTATTTAACCTTAAATTAACCAAGAAAGTCCCATTGAGAGTCCCAGGTCTCCTTTTTCAAGGGAGACCTGGACAAAAGTTACAAAAGTTACGTTCCATGTTACGGAAACATCTTCTAAGTAACATCTCCTGAACAACAAACCAAAAAGGTCAAAGCCAGTTGTGGAATCATTGATTGATTAAGCAATAAATAATTGATAGATTTCGGAGTACTGAATGTTCAATATGTTATAAAAAGTAGGAAAGAATATTAAAAAAGGCCGTGGGGTCTAACCATAAACAAGGTTGGATAGAAGTTGATGAGAACATTAGACAGAACATTTGTTAAGTATTTATGATGAAGTCCCTGAATCTTATCTGCTCCTCAGTGTTTGTGGCTGTGTTTTTGTCTTCAAGGACAAACCGCATCTTCGCTTACTTTTCAAACGCGGCTCACACTCAAATGTGACAAATGTCTTTTCTGCAGGAAAAGTCAGTGCCTCAGGAAATATGTCACCTTAACTCTCTCCACGAACTACTCAACTCAGCAACTGATGAGGTCATTCAATAGTTAGAACTTAAACTTTTTGTCATTTGCCATTTTGTTAAGGGAAATTTAAAAGCATTGCATCACATGCATTTCATTTGACATGAAACCTAAATAAAAACATTGAAAAAACTTAGTTACTTGTGCATATTCATGTATTAACATTAGTGCTGTCCAACGATTAAAATATTTAATCGCGATTAATCGCATGAATTTCATAGTTAACTCGCGATTAATCACAAATTAGTCACCCATTTGCGTGCTGTGTGCAATTGCTTTTTTTATTGAAAACAATGTGTAGTGTTATATTACACACTAACATTTGATGCAAAATCATCAATAAATGGATGACAAAATAAATAATTGGTAACAAAAAGCCCCTTCAATCTGTGTGTGGAGTGTGTGTGTTTATGGGTGTGGGTGTGTGTGTGTATGTGTGGGTATAGACCATAGACTGTATAGAAACATCATGGTGTCATTATGATGATGATAAACAATTTTTTTGTAAATTTGTTCATGTAAATACTCTATGCTGTTTCTCTGTTTACTTTCGGTATATCTATGACTGTATACTGTTTGCTTGTATTGCCTTTTTTATTAACCCCTCCCCCCCATCTCCCACTTCATGTCCCCCCCCTCCTATGTGCCCTTCTGGGTTTCTTCTTTGGCCCCCTGTATCTCCAACTACATATTGTTTGTAATCTCTGTCTACAATGTATCTTAACTAGTCCTTTTCTTTGTGTCTATTTTTTTCTGTATATGTGTTTGTCTGCAATAAAAAGTAAAAAAAAAAAAAAAAAAAAAAAAAAAAAATTTTTTTTTTTAATAATTATAAAAAAAATTAATGGCGATAAAAAAAATGACGCCGTTAATATTGATTTGCGTTAACGCGTTAATAACGCGATATTTTGGACAGCACTAATTAACATACCTTTTTAGTTTATTTTATTCTTTATCTTATTTCAAATTATATTGTCTATTATCTTAAATAATAGACTCAATTTGATGTGTGCAATCTGAGTGCTCTTATTTCCTTCTTTCTCTGCTGTAATGTGCGCAACGATGACACTGAAATTTCTCCACTGCGAGACGAATAAAGGTTTATCTCATCTTATCGCTCTGCTCTAGTTGTATACACTCTCACTGTATGTGCAGCAGTTGTTTGCTGAATTTGGATTACGTCACAATTCCTTTTGAAGCAAATTTCCTTTTTAAAAGAGCAATAAATACAGTACCTTAAAGTTTGAATCAGTAATTCAATCCCTTAACAGCCCATGTAATGCGACATCACAGGACTACCTGGAGGCAGAAAAGACTCACTCATGGCTGAATAAAAGTTAATGGACTATTTGAATGTGATGCGAGTTTACAATCTGGATACAACAGAAGAGACAGGGAAGCAGATAAAGCGGAAATGGAGCAGCTTCAGGACATTGTAGTAGCTCCATATACAGAAAAAACGGTTTCATCACTAAAAATGAGACATTTACACAGTTCCCATTTCATTACGGCAATATTGCTCTGCTTGAGTCTTAAAATTAAATTTCTTAGCGTATTCAAGTCAAGAGGTTTGTCAAGAACAAACAATTAATTAATTGCTAAAATAGTGAAACCCAGATAAGTTGTAATGTAATGATTTATTTTTTATTTATCAAATTAATCTTTTCAGCTATTGTTGCTCGTCTGGTTCAATAACTATTGAAAAGAACGTCCGTTGGAATGTGCTGCAGTATGAAATTACATTTTTAAGGCTGAGACAGGAAACACGCATGTGAGATGTCCCTTCCTCGCTTTGACTTGGATTTCATACAATCGAGATGTATCTGGTTTCTTTTGAAGGTGTTTTGATGAAGAATATTTAGTGAAAATCCACCCAAAAACATGCCCCTCCCACAATTATACGTAAGAAGGCAAATAGTGAGCATTTTCTGACTTTTGTAATGACACTTTTCAAAAACTGTCCATGATTCTGTTGTTCAGTTCTGTGAGATTGTGTGGCACAGGTTTTTGACTTCTCCTACCAGTAGGTTCACAGACTCAATGACGTCCATGAAGACCTCATTCTTGCGGTACTTGATTCCCTCGGAGCGCCAGGACACCGCGTTGGTGACTGTGGCCGGGGGTCTGGGGGCGCCCACCTCCAGCTTATGGCCCTGCTGAGTTATGTACCTACAAGAAAGTACAGAAAGAAATAATCATTGTTGGGTACAATACTTTGACTGTATTCAGTATTCTGGAACGGGATACATTTTTAGAGGCGTTCCTTGCCAACAGGCAAGGCAGGCAGCTGCCTGGGGCCCCCAAACCGGCAGGGGGCCCCCGAGGGCCGACTGATTTGACACAAGCGGTAGACTTGTACAGGTTACAACAGCTTCCTGCAGTGACCAGTTGGCGGATAAAATCTTTTCGTCTGATGCAAAACTTGCCACGTTCTTCATGAACAGTTAAAAACCCTGCCTGGAGCGAATTATCCATTGAATGTATTGGTGGTCTAGTGGTTAAGTGATATGACGGCCTGGGTTCGAATCCAGGAGGGACTACACTATGTATTTATTCTATGACAGATTGCTCAAGAACGGTAGAAGGTAAAAACAAGCCGTTTTTTGCAGATTAAAGCTAAGAGCTAAGATTTTGTAGGATTGATACACTTTGATACGTAGTTTTTGTAATCACTTATACAGTAACATGATGAGTGTAGTGAACAAGCTTATAAAAAGACATGCTAAATTATTTCTCATTGCTTTGTGTCACGATAAGTACTGAAGTACTCACAATTTTCTATGGTAGACTGTACAGTCTGCCAGACAGGCCCCAGGCCTATCCATTTATTGTTAAAAATAAGAAATTATGTACATTTAATTTATATTAATGTACCCTTGGAACGCCACTGAATACAGAACATGACCTGTATTTTGTATAGTATTCTTTTACTTTGGAAAAAGCTGTACTTGTATTCCCAATACTTGTATTTATACTTTTGATTATTATTATTGTATTATTTATATTTATTGTAAATTCATGTTTATTTACAAAACTTTTATACATTTAAAATCACAACCACAATTTTTGTAAAACAAGTCAAAATGCTTCAACAGCAACATTTAACCAGAAAAAATTAGAACCTCCACTTTAGGAATACCCAATGTTTTCTTTTCTTCTTCTTTTTTACCATAAAACGTGATGAAAGGAAGTATGTATTCCTGTGATTTTCAGAATGTATTCTAAATATTAGACTTTAAAGTAGTAACTGGAAGGGAATAGTAACTGAGAAAGAATATTCTGATTACGTAATGGCAATGCATGTATTTCATTACCCCCAACACCCCAGATATCAAGTCGAGATATTAAGAGTCATGTTATCATGAAAAGTTATCATTAAAGTATTGCTTTATGGTAATAGTATTAATAACAGGTCATACTTTACACAGTGAGATGTTTACTCCCTGTAAGCACACCTCATAAAACAAAGTATGAATCTATTACTGGATCCTGCGCCTTCTTTTGTTTGGAGATTGCTCATGGATGTAATTGGATACAGAAGATTTACATACCCATTGACTAAGGTCACACAACAGAAGACATTTATATTGTTTGTTTGCCTGATTTAATTTCATAAACCCAGCCCTGATTGTCTAATTGTTTTCAGGCACAAAAATAGAAAAGATTATCCGCTTTCCTTACCCACATCCTTACCCACACCCACAATAATTCATTGTATAACATATCTAATGAGATCATGGCTAATCAAACTGATAAAAGATTGAGGACTCTAATCTTAATTTTATGTTTAACGTTTCATTAAAAGGATATGTTTGCTGCCCACCTCCTCACCCACACCTGGTCCAGAGAACCACCGGTCCAGTGCTACTTGTTTGGTGTTTTCACATCTCTGCTACTGAAGCACAAACAGCCCCAGGGTTAAAGTGTATAAGATTGTAGAACAGATTTATTTTAAAAGTTGTTTACTCATTAGTTTGATAACCGTTGAAGCCTTGATTTCACCTAGAATTAACCATCACACAAATGTTTTAAGTTGCTCCTAGCTTTAGTTGAAGAATTTCCTATGAATGGTCTTTTCATTTGTCACATAAGAGTCATTGATGTCTTTAAACAGGTAGTAGTTACAAAGTAGTTTTGAGAATGCTGATCCTCCTTTGTGTCTGCACTATTGTGCTTGAGGCCACTTAGCTAGCTGCTCTCCAGGGCATTCTTCACAATGGCTTTGAGAATAGGAGACAGTTGTGTTTAGATAAACATCATGTGACTCGTTTTGTTTTCTCTCCCAACACCTGCTCATATAGTCCCCTACGACTACGTCATAGTGGTACTACTCGTATACATACATACATACTGTATGTACGTACATACTGTATGTACGCATGTATGTGTAACTGTATGGTGTAACAGTAAAACTGTGCTGCTGTTTTTAAGGCCCGAGCCCCGACTGGGGTAAGGGCCTGTTGCTTTCACAATAGTGAATGCAAGGGGTCGCGTCCGCATCCGTGCCAGTCACTCATAATGACGGGCACTGACAGTCACCAAAACGTGACGGTTGCGTGCATAAACTCAAACGCTTTACAATTATGTATCGGGTGCCATTGAAACCTATATTGTTTTTGCTCGGAGTAAAATTATTCTGCACATTAAACGTTAATTTGACCCCCTGAACATGCATGAAAAGTTGCCAAATTTTGCCCAAAAGTCAGAACCGGCAAAGAATTTACCAATTTCATTGGAAAATGGAAACATGTTTTAGCAGCGGAGCGGCACAATTTGCACATACAAAATAAAATTTACACAAAACTAATCAATTGTTCAACTCTTGGGTCTGGGTCATTTGAAAATGACATAATTCAAATTGGCCCATTAGCGCCGTCACAGTTTTAAAGGGGATAATCACTTTTAGTTTTTTTTTTTATGTTTGAAATTTTGCACATAATTCTGTTTTACCCTCTTGATTCAAAAAGTCAATGTCACCCAAGACTTGTTTTTTACCCTGTTGCCGTGGCGACAACAAACTCTCCCCATTCTGTGTCAATGGCAAATGTACACCTCGCACAAACATCAAACCAGCCTCTGCCGTTTCATTCATTTTCCTGAAATTGCTCCACATCATCTCAACATGGTCATCCAATGGAGACTGTATATATATGGACACATTCACAGATTATACATGTGCTCCTGTTTACGCATATAGATTTGTACTAAACTTGACTCTTCTACTCCTGGGCCCAGGTCACCTGAAGGTGTGAAATATTAAATTGGCTCTTTAGCACCCCCTACAGACTGAGCCAAAGTTATATTATAATAATGCCCCCTCCTTTGCGCGGTGTGGCGAGGGCAGTTCGACGCCGCTTGCGGCTTTAATTTTTTTATTCTGTTGCTATCCCATTCACTCCTAATATACGATCCATGTCACAAATATATGACAAATATGTACATAGATCCATACATAGATCAAATAAATACACAAACAAGTTCATGAAGAGCTATTCCTGCAGTCAACACGATCTGTAGTTACATCCCATCAGTGCAATAGACTGGGGCCTTCCTCAGATTTACAACCACTGGCACCGCTGTGGATTTTTAGAGATTATTTCAAACAAGTGCAAAATGCAATTGCACCTCAGAAACCCTCTCCATGTATTTTGTTTTATTTCTAATACAGGTTGAGGTCATCCCTGAGACAGTGTGACCTGGTGTATGTTATATGAATGTACTGTAAGGACTACAGATGGAAAGCAGTAGGTGCTAAATCTGGTGCCGTCGTCTTTTTTCCACATTGTCCTTAATAAATGACACTTAAACTTAAGAAGTTACAACTCTGAAATTGTACTTTTACCCAATCAATGTAGGAGCAAGATGATTAAAATTAACAACATACAACAAATACACCACACAAACTAGGCGATTGATTGAGTGACAGATTGAGGCAGCACCCTCTGGTTTTGCACCCCAGACTCCGCCACCTACGGGCTGTCAGCATCGCACCGGGAGATGAAAGCCGAGTGGAGCTGGCTCGGGGTTGTCTCCTGTGTTTGTTCTGTTTTTGGCCCCCGTTCCCCTCACAAATGTTAATTCAAACTCAGGAGTTGTTGGCGGCAAATTGACAAATTAGCATAACAGCGAATCTGAACATTCTCCTCTTGTATTCTTGGGTTTATCACAAAAACAAAGCAGCGAGCAAACACAACAAAGACGGGTTGTAATGGGATTTATCAATGCACTTCTAATTGTTTGAGTCTCTAATCTGTTGTTGGACAATTGACAATTTGAATAAAGTCCAGGTCCACAGAAAAATATTTATTGAATTGAATTGACCCATTGACATGTATCAATTTTCTCCTACTAATACTTGTAGTCAATCTGTATCAATGAACAATTGACTGTTCTATTGGTTTTGTTGATTTTCTACTCAGCTGTTGGCAAATCAACAATTCTGTGACGCCCTTAAAGGTTGCCGTTGTGATTGTTGGCGCTACAAAAATAAATGTATACGATTTTGAAACCTTTTATGAGACTAATGAAACAGGTGAGTTGCCACTGCTGGCTACAATAAACCACTCACTAATTTTTCTCATTAATAAAAAGGTCTAATTGGTTCATAGTTATTTTCCTATTATAAATATTGTTCTTCTCACTCCTTTTCAGGCAAATTATTTTTGATTTAGTTATGTTTTTTATAATGGAGACTGTGATGCTCCTGTGTTTTCCTGAAATAAATAAATTAAAAACATAAAAAACTGCATATCATACAAAGTTATAATACACACTGGTCCACACTGGGGAAGTCTTGCAGTTTTTTCAATGTGGTTTTACTGCATATGGCAAATAAATTCTTGAATCTTTAATCTAAGTTGTTTGTTCAGAAGAAAGGCAGAGGAGCAAAAACAACACTGAGAACACCAAAATAGTTAAACTGTATGGTTGAAATAAATGTAAATAAAAAAGGGGAATAATAAAACCAAACAGAAAAACAGTCGCATCAACAATAGTGCTAGTTCACAGTAGTAACACTGTTGCTCTGTTGACTTCCCATGTGTGGTTTTACAGATTCACACCAGCCCACTCACTCATGAGCTGAGCCCCTGCCAGGTGCTGTGCTGCAAAGTAAAATAGAAAAGAGCCTTTGTACCAGGGGGCAGGGGGGGTGGGTCAGCAGAAGAAGAACAGCCCCAGGACAAAACATCTCAGAGAAGAGCTCCACTGTTTTACTGGAGAAGAGCTGCACAATCTCAAAATGGAAAAAACGTATTTTGATGAGAGAAGATTGTGACTGTATTAAAATAAACTCAGCCAAAAAGAAGCTTCAAAATGTTGTGTTTTTCTTTAAATAAGGAAATAAAAAACGATGCATCACTCGTAATGACAAACTACGGTTGTGCTTGAAGGTTTACACACCCAGGTAGAAATGTTGGTCATATATTGGAAATTATGAATGATACGGCGACATAGTAAGAACACTTTTAATGGATCAAACAATATGAAACCTTGAACACCTAGGGCTATCCTGCTCCCCCGAGGGTTAGATTTGTTTTTTTGTATTATATAAAGCTGGTTCTACTGCATCATATAGAGATATAGAAAAATATTGTAATTAGAATTATGGCCATTAACAGGAAGTCACAGACTAGGAAATTGCTTTGGCTCGGTGCAACAGTCAAAGAAGAGAAGTTAAGAACAGAGTGAGGCATAATAAAAATCAGCATACACTTACAAACAAAATAAAATGATTACAATTACTATATACAATATACAAGTGTACACAATATGCAGTAAGCAGTGCAAGCAGTCATTGCAATATTGGTATGTGCAATATCCATATCTAAAAGATGGTCAATAATTTAGAAATATTCATGTACTGTGTACATTTTTTGTATTCACACTTTGACAAATCTGCTGCGACCTTGTGCAGCCTCACCATTGGCCAACACCAATACAAGCTAGAGTGGAGCACGCAAAGAAACAAAACAGCATGGCGGTGTGTGGAATTGGCTCTAGGCAAGATTTGAGGTTAATATGTGTGTGTGCCATACTGCATTTGAATGTAATTATTGTTGTGCTTAAGTTTTGTTAGAGATAATGCAAAAATATTATCGATTTAAACACCCATATCAATTATCGCTCAAATTTCCAATATTGTGCAGCCCTAAACACAACCGTTATTAATGCACTGTTTTGAATGCTCATACACACTCACACACAACTGTTGTGCTTTTGGGCAATTTTTTCATTCGTTGGTAGTGGTTGTGTGAAGCCAGTTACCGATAAATATATTTCAATATTATAATATTCCATTCCATTCCATTTTCTTTCGCTACATCCATTGCCGGGTTGCGGGGGCAGCAGTCTAAGAAAACGGCCAGACTTCCCTATCCACACACACTTCCTCCAGCTCGTCCGGGGGGACCCCAAGGCGTTCCCAGGCCAGCTGAGAGACATAGTTCCTGCAGCGTGTCCTAGGTCTTCCCCGGGGCCTCCTCCCCAGGGAGGCGTCCAGGAGGCATCCGGAACAGATGCCTGAGCCACCTCAACTGGTTCCTCTCGACGTGGAGAAGCAGCGGCTCTACTCCGAGCTCCTCCCGTGTGACTGAGCTCCTCACCCTATCTCTAAGGGAGCGCCCAGCCACTCTGCGGAGGAAGCTCATCATAATAGATTATAATTACGATTATAATATAATATAATAATATATTAATAGAGTAGATTTTGTGATCATTATAATATAATGAAAACAAAATCTACTCTAATTAGCCTAATTAGAAGTTTCCATCCCCCAGTTCTCACGAGGGTCTGGGACAGTTTGGAGTCTTTGTGGTAGCTGTGGAGCTGAGTTCTTTATCCTCTGATGGCCAAAAGGCTACAGTTCCTGTAAATTCCTGGGCAGCCACGCATGTACTACAGTACATGTTTGAGATCTCCCCAGATTGGCTCAATTATGCCATAATTTGAAAATATAAACTATATTTATTTGACAATACATGGCTCACACAACCACTAAAGAGTGGGAAAAGAAAATATCCTAATCTATGGCCAAAAGCATAACAGATGCTCAGTAAAAATAACATTTCACTTTTCTCAAATTGAAACTATTTAAATTGTCATTTCAAGTAAATAAGGATAAATCTTCAGAAGCGTGTTTATTAGATGCTTTTTAATACAGTGAGATCCAATGGGACGCTATGTAATTATTGAAGCCCTGTGCAGTTTCAAAAATCTATCCACGCAAAGCTCAAATTAAACACAACTAATTAAAACTGAAAACCCATTGCTAAAAGAGCGACGATTGTGATTGTGTTGTAAATTACAAAAAAGTGATTATCTGACTGCCAAGAAAATAATAATAAAAAAGATAATAAAAAGGGAAAGCAAAGCCAAGAGTAAGTAAGTAAGTAAGTAAGCTTTATTTATATACCGCCTTTCACAGACCAGAGTCACAAAGCGGTTTACAATGGTTATTTTTGGGCATTTGTCTCTCACTCCACACAGAGATGGGAGCGGGGTCGCCGAACAGGAGGCGCATGCCAGACCTATTGTACATATTTTTAGTGGTAGGGGAAACCGGAGTACCCGGAGGAAACCTACGCAGACACGGGGAGAACCTGCAAACTCCACTCAGAAAGGCCCTGGTCCGGCCAGGATTCGAACCCAGGACCTTCTTGCTGAGAGGCGAGAGTGCTATCCACTCAGCCACCGTGCTGAGTGGATAGCACTCTATGCTTTATGGTGGTTAGTATAGAAGGATTCTGTTTCATACAAAAATGTGATTTCTAGTGAGTCATCGTCAAGCAAAGAATGAGACGTTGAAAAGAGAAAAAGTAAAACTGTATTGAGATGGCAAAAATCCACTCTACAGGAGTTCTCAGTCTTCAGCTCATTTCACAGATAGAAAAACAGCAGTTTAAACTTTGGGTTGAAATCTTTGAATATTTCAGTTCAGTTCATTTATTATCTGGGCAGAAGCAAAAGCAAAACACACAGCTCTGAACTTGGAGTTAGAAACAAATTGAGCAAATTTTTATTATTTTTAAATACAGGAGACATTGGGCGTCATACCTCCTTATTTGTTTAAACAGTCTTTAAAATCTCTAATATCCATAGTATTGCAAATTTCACCTACATAACCGACATTGAAAAGTATGTTATTTTATTATAGTATATTAGCTTTAACATGTGTAAAAATGAACTTAATTTGTCACAAAATAAACCAACGTGTCACCAATAACAATGGCTTGCCAATTCATAGTTTTATATTTCTGAATGGCCTTTTTCATTGCAGTTTAGAGTCCGTATAGTGGTTGATGATGGCAGATATTGACAGATGCACTAAAGCACAGAGATGGATTATTTGTTGAACCTGAAGTAAGCGATAAGCGTGAATAATGAATGGCCAGCTCTTTATATAGGACAGCACGTTACTTACTCTTGTAGGATCTTGCTGTCTGTCGTCTGTGGAAACCCAAAGTCCATGACCTCATCCATCAGCTCATACACCGTCACAAAGTTGTCCCGGATACTTTCCTCCTCCACCTCCTTGAAATATTCTTTAAAAACCTACCGACAAAGAAAGCAGAGAAGAAAATGCTATAACTCAAAATGGGAAGCGTGTGAGGATAGCTGCTTGTATGCCACTTATTCAAATAAATTTGTCTTCATCTTTCCAGGGGCTGTGTACAAGAAACCAAAATTGCAGGGGCTCACAGTACGACTCCAGGAATATGCAGTAGTACTCAAATTATTATTATGAAATTATGAATGTTGTACCACTAAGTATATGCATGATCAAACCCAGTGGTGAAAAATAAGATGGAAGAAAAATAGATCTCAGTGGAGACCCATGTTTTACCATGTTATTACAGCATTATTCAATCCATAACAGGACTCTCTAAAATCTTAGTACAGTTTCTGAACCTAAACTACATCTTAAGCCTTAAGCCGGAGTAACTAACTTTGCAAACACAGAAATAAATAAAAATAAACATTGGAATAAAAAACATGTATTGCAAGTAGTAACTGCTCATTTATTTATTTCCAATTATTTTTGTATAGCCCTAATGCACAATGGACGTTGTTTAGAGGACTAAGTTGTTGACAAGCCAAAAAAAATAAAAAAATACACAGAACAAGTTCTAGTTATTGCACTAGAAATGCAATAATAAACACATAGGAGCCATTGGTCTATAGCGTGATGACAAAAACATAAATGTGCATAAATGTCTCGGATCATCTCACACCCTCCTGCATTGGCAAGGAACAAATGAATGAAAAATATACTGTAAGTGGGAAAAAACGTGAGAAACCTCAGTAAGGCCTATATTCAGAGAGGGATCTGCTCCCACAGACTCTGCTGAACAGGACTGTGTCTGTGCACGATAGAATGTTGCCATCAATAGATTTCACATACATGTATTTCTGGAATCTCTCACATCTTTAGATCTCTGATCAGCTTGAATCAGCACTCACTCAACCAACCAGCTCTCAGAATGTAAAAGAATTGTAAAACAAAAAAATTGAACACGATTGCGTGTCATATACACATTTCTTTCTGCCTTTGACAAAATACCAAGATTTGAGTGTTGCGTCAAAAAGGTGGTTACAGTTTCTCACTCGCACATGCCGATTCAACATTTTCATTTTACTTTTGGTGAATAAACAATTGAACATGGTGATTACTATAGTTCATCAGAGATCATATGTTTAGCACCCACCAGTTGTATAAAAGATTCTCAAATGCACCAAAGCCTTTACTCACCTGAACTATTTTATACAGGAAAGAGTACACTAGCGCTGCATTGGCATTTTTCTTGGTCATCGCCACCACTGAGAAAAGAGAGGGTTAAGGGCCAACAGAAATATGTGAAAGCGAGAGACACTGAATTATTAAATGGTGCGTGGTATCATGAATATTTTTAGTCCTGGAGATGAATGCAAAACTGAATTAAAAGTTACTGTATCACGCCCGCATTACAGCACATGGCCAGAGGGCGGTAAGAGAGCTCAGTTGTCTCAGGCGGCGCACTGGGAATACCACTTACTCACATCTGCAACATCATGTTAAATTAATAATGTGAGAGGGGTTTCACAATGAGGGTAAGATTGTACAGCGCGGCCTCCACCCTTTTTCACCCTGAGATGAACTTCGAAGGCCTCTGATAAAGATACAAGATTTTTGACTTTGTATTTGGCCTTGTTTTTTTTCTGCTTTTCAAAAGCTTTAATAATTTGCAAGTGTCTCAGTCAGATTTTTCTACACAGCAGGATGTTTTCATCTGTATTTCAGAATATTGGGAGTTAGACAGTGTCGTAGTAATTGAATATGATATAAATATATAGAAAATATATTTTTTTTAAATAAAAAAAACACATAGGGTTTTTAGCCAATAATTGTTATGGATCTATACAAGAAATGTGTGTTTATCTTCATGTACTTGGCGATTTAATAAATATATCCAATAAGCATGAGAAATTCAGTTCTTTCTCTGAACCTTTAGTAAAAATCTAAGCACCAATTGGGACACAGCATTCTGGCTCTTTGTATTACTGCACGGCAAACAAAATTAAACAAATATATTTATAATTAGTTGAAATAGGAACGGTAAAAAACTATCTTGAGTTCACTACATTGACTGCTATAAAAATAATTTCCCAATGGTACATGGAAAAATATAACATTAATAACATTTGAAAAATATTTCTCACTTACTGTTTTAACTAAAACACTTCGATGGGAGGTCTAAACAGTACTTTCCAATTTAATAAAACCAAATACATTAGACGAAGAGATGACAAAATGGAAAAAAAAGAATCTGGTTGCGGATACAGTAGATGTTGTTGTGCTTGACCCACAGGAGGTGAGTGGATCCGTGAGTGATCAGAGGAGTCATCTCAGCGTCCTCCTCCCTCTTCATCAGCATCGGCATGAAGTGGTCGATCTCGTTCATGTCCACGTTGCCCATGTAGTTGCGGCAGATCAGCACCTGAAGCAGCACAATGGGAAGCAGCTGGGGTTATTATGAGTGCAGTGTTTGCACAATGTAAACCCAGAAGAAAAAATATAGATGTTTTGTGTCTGCTTGAGAGGAGCAAAAAAGCGTAAAGCAGAAACTTAGAACTAATGTAATATTACCAACTAAAAATCTAATGTCGTTTATCGGTCGTTTATCGGAAAATCATGCAATTCACTTTTCCACTTTTAAAACTATCATTTTGGATGGCTTTATGAGCTCAAAAATGTGATATTTATACAGTTGGTATGTAAAGCCTATTGTATGCATTCAGTTATTACACAGCTCCTCACAGCAGCAGGAGAACGCTCCATTGATTTGAATGTTATTTCAAAACGTTCTACCGGTCATTATTTCTCAATAACGGACCTCTCAAAACGCTGCCCATAGAGTGCGTTGCGCACTCCGTGCTTATAATTCAGATGTGTAGATTACTCCGCAAGTAGTTCCGGCCACTTCGTTTCCAGCCACGCTCAATAAACGCAAATACCAATCAATCAACACAGTTAAATGTTAATCGGAGAATACATTATACATACACATTCTTAAAGGAAGAATATGTAAAAATCTGGCCAAAAGTGGTACTGCAGTCACAGTCAATATTTTGTAGTCCTCTCCCACTCTCCCTGACTCAGGTTGCCAGATACACACCAAATCCAGCAGCAAACACAGGGAATTATTTTATCAGTTGCTTGTCTGTCTCCATTCACATTGCCATGAGGCATGCTAATGTTGAATCAATGTTTTTTATTTTTTTTTTGTTTGGACATTTGAGATAAAAAACAAAAAACAAAATAAAACCATCGATTCGCACTGAAAACACCACTCTGAAGAATGGACTCAAAGCAGCAAATTTTGCATCACACGTAAACTTATCAGCCGTCTCAATTGTTCAAAGGCGTCCCGATATAAATCCTCGTTTTAGTCTTTGTTTTGTCATTAAGGATTTGAGAGTCATAACAAGATCTTTTTTTAGTTCTGCGCCACATGTTATTTTACCTCTGAGATTAATGAGCCGCACGGAGTTCTGGCAACCCGATCACGGACTTACATGGGACTTCCTGATTGGCGAAACGGCGGAGGGTAGGACATCAAAATCAAAACAATAACAACTTTTACGGGTCGTAAAACTAATTTTGATAATCAAATATCTCGGCTGAACTACTGTTATCAGTTAAAGATGAATTCGAAAAGAGTATGATTTAATAACGCCTTTTGAAATATGGGGCCATTTAATGATGACTTGACATGCAAATATTACATACTGCTTCTTTAATACACGTGCACAGAGGTTTTCAGAAGTATCTGTTAAGGTGTTCATGACAAAAATACTGTTATAATGCGAGAAATGCGAGAAAAAGCGATCGCGGAAAATTTTACGACACATTTGCAGAGGATTAAATTATGGATTTAGGTTAGGTTTATGTTTGGGTCACTCACCGCTAATGTTCAGAATTCTTTTTTCAGTTTTCATGCAGTTCCAGAGAGTTCTAGTTTGGAAGTTGCCAGCCTAACTGTTACTCGCATAGCCACGGGAAAGCCTTTGGGAACTATTTTATTTTCTGTCATTAAATAAACCTTTCGGCATTCTTAAAAGTGGTCCTAAGTTTATTTTGTGTGTTCTGTTGTTACAAAGCTGTATAATAAGCGGGATAATGTACAGTATTCAGGTCATTATCGGTAAATAAGTACCGACAGGGCGAAGCAGCCCCCGAGGCGGAAGCAGGAGGGGTCTGCTTTCGCCCTGAAGGTACTTATTTTCCTATATACATTATTTATTTATTTGTTTATTTGAGCAGACAAGTACTGCTCAAAGGAGTGGGCCAAAGCAAGAGCTTATTGGTGCCCACCCCCAAAACACTACATTAACAGATACACATTTAAACATTTTACATAGAACAGCAACAAGAAAAGAACAGACGATAACAACAACAGTAAATAACTGTTTAGAGCAACATCACTCTTCAAGGTCAACAATGATCATAATGACTATAGTAAGAAGACAATAACAATAATAAGCAACAAAACGAAGTAAATAAAGTAAATCAAATAGAAATAAATAATAAAAACAAACAGACAAATTTAGTTTAGCCATGTTGCTCCCCCAGTGACATTTAATTTCATCCTCTTTGTACTTATCAAAAGTCTTTTGTTTGTTTTTAAATTTGAACAAATTAATGTTTGGACTTTGTTTCATCTCCCGCTCCAAATTATTCCACAGTTGAACCCCATTTGCTGTGGGGCAAAAACATTTCAGAGTCGAGCTGTGTTTCTGTATCAGAGTTTAGTTCTTCTCGTAGTTCGTAACAACTATTTCGCTCTTGAAACCTTTTCTGTATTTGTTTTGGTAATTTGTTTATATCTTGCTTTATATGTCAACTGCACAGTCTGGAACTCAACAAGATTATAAACTTCATAATCTTAAAATTTAAAAATAATGGGTTTTTATGATCTCGAAATCCCACTTTATGAATTATTCGAGTGGCTCTTTTTTGCAGCATCACTAATGGTTTTACTGTGTTTTTATAAGTGTTTCCCCAAATCTTAGTGCAGTAATTCAGATATGGCAGAATCAGAGAACAGTTATCACTTACTTAAACTAATTGCACTTGTAAAAAGAGAAGGCAAAATAAGCATTAGCTTCAGCCTACTCCTTTTCAGTCTTTCTTTCAGCTGTAAATGTACTGCTCTCTCTGTAACAATGTGTAAATTCTACAAGTGACTGTAAAGTCAAACTTTATGCTTTATAGTTCAAATCTATGACATTTATGGGGCCAAAAATTCCATGAAAATGATTCAGCCCCAAGTGCAGTAGAGTCCACTCAAAAAAACAGTACACCAAGCCTAAATTACATGTGAACTACTGAATCACTTGTAACAACTATAGTTTTAGCCAATAGCGTTCGAAAGAGTGGACATGATTGGGCAAGAAATTCTGTGGCCTGCAACTTAAGGATTGCCAACAAATAAACTAGGTGCAGCAGGTTTTGCAGGATCATTGAGCAACAATTGCATATGATTGTAGTCATTGACACAAGTATTTGATGCAAGGATTTTTACAAAAACAGATATAGCTCGTTTTTAGGTAATCTTGTTAATAATGCCCAACAAATAAATGATAACATTTCAGACATGGGTGAATGTCGGATGAATGAATTTAGTCCATATAATATTAAATTGCATTATTCATTCAAAAGATATTGATCAGGTCAGTGGAATGTCAACACTCAAATATTACATGTGAGTCTTAAAAGCAACTAACATTTATTTTAAAAATTCATTGTCTACTATCAGTGACATCTACAGATATGGTAAAATTAATCAACTGCGACCCGGCAAAAACCTCAGTGACAACTCCAGCCGTCAAAAAAAAGTTTCTCTCCAAAAAGTCCTCACAACACCACACCCTCGATTTAAGAAACTCACTGGTCGAGATGAGTCAGCCGTCTTTTTGAACCCTAGACAAAAGTGCAAAGAAAGAGATGAAAGCTGCATGCTTGAAGGCTCGCGATCATACACACACACGACTGATTCAAAGCTGGAATAGAGAAATGTGTGTGACAAAGGTCAAACAGGGGCCCGCATAACAAAAGCAGCCGGATATAAGAAATAAAAAAACAATTCTGAGACGGTAAAGTAGTCAGCTGAAGAAGAGAGGGGGGCGTAAACAGGCCAAGGCAGATTCAGAAACGATAAGATTGTCTGCAGAGCGTGAAGGGTACGGATATGGTCAAGGTAAATAAAATGGTCAGACTGATGCAAGCTGTGATTATCGGTCTTGCTTTGGAAGAGGCTTTCAGCTGCGAGATGACGCTCTAATCAAATCTCTATTTATAAAAGAAGACACTTACGTCAGCTCAGTCATACCAACTTCTTTTTCTTTAAATATAGCAGAAATGAGCTGCAGGCAAATTGTGGTGCAGCAACAACACAGGCGATCAAATGAAAAATGTTCTTTTGTAATGTGGTTTTTAAAGATCCTTGGAACATTTGTCCAAACTAAACTACTTTGTTCTTGGGGTGAAGAACAGTTCCAACGCATTAAAAAGGAAATGTATTATTAAGTTGTTAAAACGGGGCAGAGACATTTGTGTCTCACTATTTGGCAAATTGATTGATGTAAAAGGGAGAGTGAGCGCTGCTGTGGGTTGGGTATGCGAGTCAGGTGCTCTTCAGGATCCAAAATGCAAAAATCTCAATTATGAAAAAAAGAAAAAAGGAAAGAGACAGTCCAAGGCACAACTGACTTTAAAGTAAAAATCCTACAATTTTACGGGACACCAACACGTTTCAACCACTTAGGTCTTCATCAGGGCAGACCATCGAATTCACAAATTTCACCACACAAAACTATCAATACTTTTTATTAAAAACAAAAATTGGAAAAAAATGCACATGTCCAAGTGGAAGCCACCGCTAATAAAGGTTGTTTATTAAAATCAGGCAAGTCCAGGAATATGTTTCTTCTTTATGGATCTTTGAACACTTTTTGTTCATGACCACCACATTAAATAACTTTGATACCAGCAGCTCCCATCAGTTCCCTAATTTCACAATTCCCCAATTTGCTTAAATATCTCCAAACAAATGGGGGCAATTACATGTGCATATTCTGTACAATAAAAAAATATTCAAATGTAAACTATTTCCAATTTGGTGTTTGAAAGCATTTATAACAACAATAACAATCTTGCTTTAAAATAGACGCAACATCTCAACATAAGATACCCAACAGCAGGACTTACACTAGTAAAATTCCGTGCATTCACAGAAATGAAAGTGAGGAGTTGTTATTCCCCCAGCTTCAGGATTTTCCAGCGTCAACACATCTCAGTAGCAGCACAGTGCTCAGAAGTCAGAGTGGTGGCAATTGAAGGCAGATTAACAAGGAAAACAGCGACGACGCGTTGTGCAAAAGGCAAAGGACTTCAAACAGAACACCTCACACAATCCGTTAGCATATTTCATGCCCCAAAGCAGCGCACAGCTATTTAATAATCCAGGTCTCATCCAATTCAACTGGGACTATGTTACTTCTTCCTTTCCAAGTTTAGCCATAGCACTGCAACCCTGACAAACACACATAATGATGCAATACCATTTGTCCAATATTGAAATACAAAAAAAACTAAAACTGGATGGAAACCTGATCAAACATCGCCTTATTCCGTGTTTGCAGAATTAATCTAATTGCTGACTAGACAAGCATCTAAGCCTCTGCAATGTGAGAGAAAAAAGATAAAAGTTTCCTTTGAAAAGGGCATTATGGAAGAACTCATTCAGCTAAAAAGTATGCCCTATTGGTCCCCTTCTGTTCCATTTCTTGGGTTTGAACTGTTTGATTCTCTGATCTGTATTGGTAAATTCAACGGTTGTGTAAGTCCTTCAAGATAACTACTGTTTTGAATTGAATGGACCTTTCTTATACACAGCATTAGCCTGTGCGGACGGATCTATTTTGTTGTCCAGACGGCATCCCAGGTCTATACCACTTCAACATCCTAACCATTTGGTGTGACCGGTTGATCTGAAGGGCTCCTGTGAAAGTTAATGAGCATCTCCTCGGTATTGGACTCACTAAGGATCAGACCATTTCTATTGCTTCAGTACGAGAAAGCAGCCACCAGCCCCCTTTACTCAGCTTCATCCCCTCCCCTCTCACATGCCTCAACAACGGTATCAACTGGATACTTTTGTGCGTGGCATGTAGCAGCATTGTGTGCAGTGTAAATTGTGAAGAGGAAGGAAATCCACGATATAACAGCCAAAATCGCATTCTTCTACACAGATCCCGTTTTAGTAGCGCAATCTAACATGATGGTTAAAAATATAATTGCTGTCATCTGATTGCATAACAGAGAGAAGTGATAAAAACAAGCATTATGCAAATTATCACCTTTCAGCTGTTTTCGTGGGGATGTCAAGACGAATCGCCTTCTTCCTTTAAAGTCTTTCCATCTTTCTCGTGAACAAACCAGATGCATCCTTTTAAATGTCAAGAGGAAATCAAGTAAGTGCATTACAGTCGGAAATTCCCTTTACTGTCAAATCATGAGGATATAATGGAAACTTGACCAGGACCAGTATACATTTATTTTAAAAGCCCGTGATTAACTCAACAGTCTCTCAATGCAAAGTCTAACGTGAAGAGATTAGCTGGTCCATATATTTTTTTTTTTACTTAACTGATCGATGACAAATTTATATTATTATTAGCAGGGCTGTCATGATAACACATTTTTATGGAGGATGTATTGCTTTAGAAATGGAAAAAACAATAATTTTGTTTATGCCCCTCAATCTTTTAAAATAGTGCAGCATTATCGCAAGAGAATTTAAAGAACTGGCTGTGAAAATAAATTGTGGAAATGGCTAATCATTTTCCATAAAGTGAACCATCCATCCATTACATCTAAAATAAGTATTACAGGAAAAAAACAATAAAAACTAGCCCCAAAATGTATAGTTTCTTTCAACAATGATTGAACGATAAAGTAATTATTATGACAGGCGTAAATGTAACTAGCTCGTCTCCTTGAAGGTTGTTTAATGCCGTCAGGAATTATGACAGTTTAGCTTCAGATATCAAAAGTAAAGATTGACATGCTTCTCGTGTAACACAACCCATGGTCTCAATCAGTGTGGAATCAAACAACATGGAGACGCTGCAGTGTGAATGAAAGAGAAAGAGCTGCTGTCAGGTTGTCCTCCATCCTTCACAACTAATCACGGCCAATCACATACAGCCCAGTGTGGGACCGTACAATGAGGGCAGCTCAGCGGAGTGACTTCACACTACTTTACTTGTCAGAGCTGCAAGAAAATGAACGATGCCATTGACTAGAGAGAGAAGAGATACATTGCATGCATTTAAGTCACTGTTAAAACCCAACAGTCAAGGTTAAGATGCCGTTAGACACGTCATTCTTTTAGCAAACCAGACAAATATCAGAACAAAACTGGCAATTAATTTCAGTTTTCTTGTGGTATTTTGCAGAATCTTCAATAACAGTCCAGTCAACTATTATAATTTTGATTTTCTCCAAGGTTTCTGACTTTTTTTCTCACTGGGTTTTTGAGTTGTTCCTTGTCGGTCCAGGAGGGTCTAAGCCGGACAGTGACGATCCGGGACTTTTAAGTACATTTATGGGCATTTATTAACAGGAATGGGCCAATTCCTATGGACCAATTGCTCCTATGTGTTTATTGTTATTGCATTTCTGTGTTTAAAATGTTTGATTCCACGATCTGTTCTTGGCTAATTGACACTGTTGTAATGTCCTCTAAGATTACTGCTGTTGTAATTTAGCTCAATACGAAATTACATTGAATTGAATGATCTATAGAACATTTGAACAAACGTGAAAAAAATCTCTTTATGTGTGTGGGAACCTACTAACGAAGGTGCCCCATTTGGCAGGGTCATGGTGAAAGTTAAGCGCCTCCTAACTGCCTGCGGGTGGGAAAGGAGGGAGGGTGGATATAAAAAGGGGAAAAGCAGGAACATCTTTAATCTACACAATCAGAGACTGGAGCTGGGTGGAAAGGATCCTTTTCCCATAAGGGTATTGTCAGGCGCAGGCTTATACAGTGAGGGCCTTTTCAGCAATTCTGTTTCTCGCTTTCGAATATATTATTCCACAGAGAGCAAGATGCATAGTGTGATGATGGGAAATGATGAAGAATAATGTGATTCAGCAGCAGTTTTACTTTTGATTCATCTCATTTTTGCTGAGTGTTAAAAAGTGTTATATTTTTATGTTTGAGATAGAAATTTAAAAGAACAAGCATATCCGGTACCAAATGTTCAGCCCTCTAATCCCCAGATCATTGTGTCCCAAGACAATCCAACCAGTTCAAATGTGTTAAGAGTTCGAGGTAGAGACTGACAGGGAGATTACCATCCATCAATCATGGGAAATGGAAGTTCTTGCACTAAATTGGAATGATCTTTTTGAAACACATGTGCCCTTCCTGCAAAATTATTCTTTAAGACTTTGGCTCAACACAGGATTGCATCAATACCTCAGCACTGTCTAAAATATATTAATTGGCCTGTCTAGCACTGTACCGATTGAGATGATGAGAGGTCAAGCAAGTTAGAAAGTGTGTCAATCATAGCATCTATAAATAGCCGATGGCATTTGAGCTATTTCAGGCTACTTTCCGGCATATGGTAGCCTACTTCCTGAACTACTAATTAAAGTAACCCATTCATTCAGTGACTGCCAGGGTAATAATGAATGCAATTTAAAAAGGGGAAACCTGAGCTCCAGAAGAGTAGAGACGAGATTGTATGCAACAAACCTGCATCAGTGCCTTAAAACAAGAACAGTAGTGTGCTCCAGTGAAACAAGTTAGTCTAGTTGAACGTCTGCTGAACGTCTGCTGACTCATCTCTCTATCTTTCCATAGTAATAGGACACGTACAGATCGGAAAAGTAGGCAGTTTGTAGTTTGTAAGGGATACCACAAAACAAACAAGTGAAGCTTATCACAACAGCAAGTGTGTTGTTGTTGTTTTTTTTTGCCAGCAACAGTGTCATTTGTAGTTGCTTGAGAAATGCTAACGTCACAAATGTAACATTACAAATATGGCAACAGTGGTTTACTTTTTCAACACAGATACAATAATTTTGTGGATCAGAAAGGGACATATTTTGTTTTTTCGGGGGCACACACAAACGATCAATATGCAAGTAAGAAGCAAAATCGTACATAGGGTTCCAGTAAAAATCAAAAACATATTGCCATTATAACCATATTTATGGGAGGAAAATGAGTAAAACATTATATAGCCTGAATATGTTCTTAAAGGGTATGTAAATTGTAAAATAGACTTTCAACAACTCGATGTTGTTTCGATCTTACCAAGTTTCAATTACATTAATTCATTAAAGTCTTCAGTCATCTGGGGTGATCTGGAAATTGACTGCAGATTACCATGAGAAATATGAAAATGAACAAGCATCTCCATGAGTCAGCTTGTTTTTTTTACCCTATCTCCAAGCTCATTAGAGTCATACTTGATTTACTCAAATTGCCTGTGGGGGTCCCCTATGAATTAATGCCTGGGGCCCATAAAGTCTCTCGCCACGCCACTGGTGCTAAGCCTGCCTGTCAACGCGTGCAAATAAATCAACCGCGCTAATCTCCTGGCAGAAGAAGACAACAAGTGGATTAATCATAAACAAAATCCAATAAAAGTACAGCCCATTTGAGTGACTCGCGTTGTAGCAGCGTGTTTGCCACTTGTATCAACTTCCCCGCAAACAAGTCGCCTTCAAACTTACCTTCCCCTTCAAGTCGAGGATGAAAATAGCCGAAGCCGACATGGTGGGGCAATAAATCCACAATAAAAACACACGTGGTGGGAGAAAGAGTGGATCCGCGGCAGAAATGGGTCACTTAAGCGGGATAATGTGCTTTTCCATCCTCATCCATCCTCCACTCGTGCCCGGGCGGTGTTTTTGCTGCTGCACCTCGCTGCTTCATCAAGTGTCAAGCGTAAGGGCGTCACCGTAAGACGCGCCGAGGCTGCTTCCGGTTAGTAAGACAATAAAACTCCACCTTCTTCTTCTTCTTGTTGCAGTATTATTGGCGGGTGGCACAAGACAATAAAACTAAGTAATCGATAATAATAATCTTTATTTGTATAGCACTTTTAAAAACAATGTTTACAAAGCGCTCCACAGGCAGTATAATAAACAATAATAATATAGTGCAAAGTCAAAATAATTAGATACATCAGATACAGGAAAACAAACACAAGAAGGGAGACACAACAAAGACAAAACAGATGTTAAAATACAGCATGTGAAGTTTAAAACTAGCAGTTAAAAGCTGTTTTTTAAAATGGGTTTTTAGAAGTGATTTAAAGACCTTATGACGGGTTTGATTTATTTAGAAATACAGTTTTAATACCATTTTATATTAGAAGAGAACTACTAAAGGTTTCAAAATCAGTTGTTGTTTTTTTTGTCTGATCCCCCCAAATCGAAATAACCCCATAGCAACGCCCTTAGAAACGAAAAAACTTCACAGCCATTGGTGACGTCAGAGTGGGTACATTTCAACGCTGTAAGTTGTTTACAATTTGGTATTCGTTCTTTTTTCGCGGATATTCAAGATGACAAGGCCGTGTACAGCGAGTATGAGATAACTACTAGAATGTAACATTTCGTTGTCACTGAGATAGTCCAGTGGTTGTATTGATGGACTGCCAATCCAGATTCTGGGGTTCAAATCCCACCGCGGACACTTTTTCACACTCAAAACGTCAATTTATGTGTAGTGAGCAATTGTCACCTGTAGAGGGCAGTATTGTGTTGGGCATCAGTGGAGAGAAGAGAGAAAAGGCAGTCCTGTGGCATAGATCCATGGTTTTCAATGCATGGGCGTTACCCGCTGTGACGTCACACACAGGTTAGAGCATAGACAACTTAAATTCATGAAAAACACGTTCTTTTTATAAAATATAGGATTTTTTTTGCCGGAATCTCTTTCAGATTGACATTGTCATGCAATTTTGAAATCCACTATTTTTTTTTTTTTAAACCCGTCATAAGGTCTTTAAAAGAGGAGACTGATGGTGCTAGCCTTATCTCTTCGGGCAGGTCGTTCCAAAGTCGAGGAGCCCGGACAGAGAAGGCTCGGTCACCTTACGTCCGGAGCCTCGGCCTTGGAACGGTCAACAGGGACCTGCCCGAGGATCTAAGGCTCATAGGGGCTCGTAGGGGGTTAAAAGTTCATAAATATAACTGGGTGCCAGACCTAAACAAGCTTTAAAAGTAATCAGTAAAATCTTAAAATCATTTCTAAAACGCACAGGGAGCCAGTGGAGAGACGCTAAAACAGGGGTGATGTGCTCCCTTCTGTTAAAACCAGTGAGATCAACTTTAATTTGTAGAGTGCCTTTCCTACACAAGGCAACACAAAGCGCCTCACAACCCACATCAAATCATGCATAAATCATAAACATAAAAATCTACATAAAAATAAAATGTATAAAAAAACACAAGAAAAGCAAAATAAATAAAAAAACATACAAAATAAAATCATACAAGTAGTTAAAAAAAACCCTGATATATCAAAATCACACATGGGATTAAAATCATAAATAGTCATAGTGCATTAAAAGATATAATCATCAGTTGTATGCACTAAGTAAGTGAAGTTTATATAGAAATATTGATGCATGATGTGTACTGTCGCTTGTTATCGCCATAGATCCATGGTTATCGCCTAAGTATCCACTACAGATCCACTAAAACTGTCAAACCAAGGAGGCGCGTCGAAACGGTAAAAGCCATAATTGGGTTCAGTTGCTGGACCTAAAGCCCCTGCATTTATTTATATACAGTAACTCCTTTCACAGACCAGGATCACAGAGCGGTTCACAATTAAAAACATACAGTAAAAATAGTACCTCTACAAAACCACAGAAGAGGCTCGTGAACAAAAGCTCTCATGAGTTACCTCTTTACAGATACAGCCGACAAAGCACACAAATCCACTTTATTTATTTGTGTGTCTTAGATGTTTTGGTTTCTCAACTACTTTCTCGGTGCAAACATGCGAGGAAAAATAGAAAAAATAATAATTAAAAAATAATAACTACATAACTTTTCTTAAAAATACAACCATATACATGGGCACTAAGCACACTTAAAATCCTTCAGATTACTGCTTTAAGCCATCTCAGTTTGGAACAGCATAGCATTTTGTAGCCTTTCAGCAAACTGTTTTCAGCTGTCTTTCAAGTTATATGAGCCTGTCTTAGCATATATTAAAGAGGGTTTAAAACATTGTTTGATTTTGATAAAAGTAGTTAAAAACTAAAACGGTAGCTGCTTGGCTGAGTGATGTGGTTCTCTCTCTTTCACTTCTATATCTGACAAAGCTGATCCAAAGATCTGACAGAAAATAATTGCATGTGAAATCTAGAGATAGAACCCAACTGTAAAGAGAGTTATCAATATTAATGGGCCGTATGTAAACTATTATTTTATTATGAAGGAGACTTTTCCCCAGTTTCCTGTGTCCCCAGACCTGTGTGGACTTGACAGTGAGTATTTCCTTGACAGCTCAGACCTGTCAGACCACTTTCTCAGTCTTCGGATCCTGAATTACTGGAATCATGAATTACTTTTACAGAATCATATGCACTTAAAGAAACAATGAGCTGCAAATATTCATGTTTTTTTAAAATGATTAATAGCAATTATGGTATTGCAGTAATACAGTTAAAGTGCATTTGGTATATAATACACCATAGATAGCTAAGAATACTAAAACAATATGTAGAATATTACAAAGTAAGTTCTTAAATAATAGGGAAATGCATTTCATGATAAAGCAGGCTACACTATTTTGGATATCTTTGGCATCTTAACCACACATATGTGCAATACTCCTCTTGAGAGTGTTTGACATTACACTTTGTGTCTGTAGTTTATAAAGTGATGCAATACATCAGAGGGGTCTTAAGGACTAGTGTACTTAACTAAAATTATCGATTTAAAAAAATGATCTTGTAAAAGTAAGTCATGAAGTGAGTCATGCAAAAAGAAAATGTGGTAAAATCCATGTATAAATCTTAGCTCTCAAATAGTGTGGTTCTAGTTTTCTCATGCAGGTTTGGCCTCTGTCACATATTTAGATTTCAGTGAAAAAGAAAGTACCTGTTGTCACACTGTATGTAAAATATAACATGTTTTCTAAACAACATGTGTTCTTATTTATTCACAAAATGTTACTTAAAGAAGCAGAATCAGTTGTGACAAACACAATGTATTGATGAAACAAAAAAAGTTACATACTCATGATTAGACCCTCACACACCCGGCAGTAGTATAGTATGGCATAGAACTACATTTCTTGACTTGTGGTATGTCAACATTAGTTGGACATGGCTTTGGCATGACGTATGCAAGAAAGATTTGAATATATGAGAAAGTGAAATACCCCTTGGGTCTAAACACTGGTGGTGCTGGAAGCTGAAGTGATGAAACGAGGAGATGAAGAGGGATGTAGAGGCGGTGATGGGGAGGAGGTGGGTTACTGAACGAGCTAAAAGGGTCAGCACCGGTCAATTTATATAAAACAACAATTTATATATATATATATGGATATATGGTATATATGGTGGGTAATGACATCATAGAGAGCCAAAAATATACACACAAAAACACATTCTAACACTAACAGCTAACTCTACAACAGGGGTCTCCAACATGGGGCTCGGGAGCTACCAGCAGCTCGCCTGCCCCTTTCAGGTGGCTCGCCAAAGGATTTAATATTCAACAGATGATCTTGACTGAATACATTTTGAGTCAATCTATATAAGTATAAATACAGTGTTATGGTAAATTTGACATGTGTTCTCCATGTTTTGTTGTAATTATTAGAATTTTTTTTACTAGGACTGCAAAAAGGAGTAGCTCTCTGCTTCTTCTTTTGTATAAAAGTAGCTCCCCCAGGTTGCAGGTTGGAGACCCCTGCTCTACAATATATCATTGCCTTTTTAAAACTTGTACTCTCTCGATCTCTCTGACAATGTTTCAATCTATCCATCCACTTTCTTCCTCTTCATCCGTTGCCGTTTACATATAGGTTAAAAACAGTTGTGTTTAGCTGTGCATACAACTAATTCTATACTTTTAATATATATTTTTCTTTTTAATGTGCTGTGATCTTTTATGATTTATATGCCTTGTGTGTGCCTTGTTGTTTTGTTCAGCACTTTGAGTTGTTGTGTGTATGAATTGTGCTCTACAAATAAACTTCCCTTGCCTTTAAAAACTGAACAGTAAAAAAAAATGCAGCAACATCTGTGACTAATAATTCATTGTAACCGCTTTCTCGTACAATGAATACAATCAAAAAAAGGAGTGGTTTCAGTCTCAATCTATGCAATACTAAAGTCTATGTCGTCCATCTCGTCCTCAGAGTCGCGGAAGACCTCGGCTGCTCTCCGGGCGCGCTCCTGGTCAATGGGCTGGATGTAGTTATCCTCAATGAAGCCATCATCATCCTCCTCGTGCACTGGAGGCCTGCACTGTCCAGCGTGGTGCAGGGTGAATTCCACGTCCAGACCTGACACACAAACACACCCACACAAACACACACACACACACACACACACGCACGCACACACACACACACACACACACACACACACACACACACACACACACACACACACACAGAATCATTGAAATATTGAGTTGTCGTTTTGATTAGGACAGGAGCTGAAGAGGGGCACCTGATGGTTGGCTAACTGCTTCTGTTTCCCGCAGCCTCGTGTGTCTGTAGCTGGCCAAATAGCGTCGCACCACCTGCCATTTGGCCAAAATGGCAACGAGAGCAAGAACGGAGACCACTATCACTAAGACCACCACAAGGAACTCCCACTTCTGAGATTCAGGCCGGTCTGGTTCTGGGATTGTAGCTGTGAGAAAGAAAGAAAGTGAGAAAGAAAGTCTGTAGAATGAGGACAGAAAATAGTGGTTTTATTCTGAAGTCGTGATATTAACATTATTTTTGGCAGCTTTTCACACACTGAAGGGAATCAGCTCTGCAGCTTTCAAAGAGTTTTTGATTACTTTTACCTGCTTTTATTCTTTTCAGGGATACTATCTGTTCAGTTGATAGCCTGACCCGCCCTAATGTGTGTCCCTATGTGCCCCTGTGTGTATTTAAACCCTGCGCTCCTCTCCCTGTGTTGTTTGTCCATTGTGTTTTTGTCCCTGCTTGATCCCGGTCTCGGTCTTAGAGTTCTGTATATCCTGAGAAACACTGAATTTAAGTTATGAGGTTAAAGTATCCTTTATTTAAATATTATGGTTGGATGTTGTATGACTGAAGTATTCCATTACACAGACTTTTTTTTTAAAATGTAAAATTATGTTGTTGTATGTATATTGTAGATAAAAAATAATAGCAAATAACACAAATAGACTTAGGTACATTGCAGCAAGTGCATTGTTTAGAAAGCTCTTTTCTTACGTGCCTTTGACATTTTTTTATTTTAAAACACAATAATTTTTATATAAAGAGTGGCCATTGAGAAATCTAGAACTGTTGACTTCACGTTTTTGACATTTTGATGATGGACTAAATCTAAGTGTTTTCTCACATTATAATTTACTGTCTGTGTAAAATCATACATTTTAAAACAAAACTGTATATTTGTTCAAGTTTTCAGCAAAATAGGAATTATTTGTTTGCTTACATATTTAGTATTCATAACTTGTCACATGCACTTTCTATTTTTTTTCTAAAGTGTCCATCCTCCATTCTCTTTATAAAATGTAATCTTTAATAGTGAGAGGTCAAGGAAAAAGCAGAGATTTTTTTCTGAATAAATGAATTATGCGAGGCATCCTGGGTAACTCCAGACACCCTCTGTGTGACACTATGGCCGCTCAGAGGAGTAATTGTAGCAACAGGCTTATATCACTGCGCTGCCGAACGGAGCGTTTTAAGAGATCCTTTGTTCCTTCGGCTGTCAGACTTTACAACAAACCTGTCTGAGTTAAAAATGTGCACTGTTGTTAGTTAGTTAGTTAGAAATGTTTATAATTAATGTACTTACTGTATGTGTTTATGTGGATGTGTTTTCTGCTCCTGAACACCTGAATTTCACCTACGAGGAGAAAGAATCTATCTATCTATCTATCTATCTATCTATCTATCTATCTATCGAGTGACTACTTACAGTTCTGTGTTGTGTTGATAGCAGCTGTGAGCGGTCCTCTTGTCAGTGCTTCCATTTGTCACGTCTGACTGTATTTTTTGAGTGGGGCCTTTTGTTTTACAGCTATTGTTTATTGATGTGCATTTTAAAAGAGGTCATACATGCGATCTTCCCTTTACTCATTCCAGAGTCTGTTATTGTCTTGCACGCTGAATCCAATTACTCTGAATCTGAAGCCAGTGACATTTGACAAGCTCAGATGAGTGGGCCTCCTGGTGCTGGAATTGCCCACAAGATGGCAACATTGGCTGGTCTCCCTGGTTCATAAATAAGTGAAGGGCAGTGCCATTCCCATCTAATGCTTAGCTTGAAATTTGATCCAGATTTGTCTTGCTGAGCTGCACAGTAAAAAGAGAACATACAGAGTTATCAACGTATAGTCAATCAAATCTGTCAAAATCAAAGAGCATTTTTAGACCTCAGCTCAGGCCGTTCAATCACCCTGGTGTGTTGTGTGGCTTTGAAATCTGTTTGGATGAGAGAATGAATATTTAAACATCCAGGGCAGCCCCACAAATGAAAACGACAATAGAGAGACCTAAAAATGTTTGTTTGTAGTGGCTTTCAAAACGACGATTCACTATTATTTAGGCTTGAACAAAGGGATAAAGTGACAGGGGCCCATAAAGACACAAACAGGAAGTCATTTTATAGACTGCTAAAGCTTCCTGGTTCAGAGATTGATGATAGGGACACTGTGTCTATTTTGACTGAACAGATAAGGCTTTTTGACGTTACAGACCAGAAATATGTTTTTAAAGGAATTTGTTTTATGTAAATGTTAAGAAAATGCTATAATTTGTGAAGCGATGGTTTTATTGTGATTATATTTCAACCTAACTTTTTAGAATAAGAAACTTCTCATGCCAAGAAACTGCTTCTTCAGAATGTTATCCATGTGTCATGTAGAATGGGCTCAAATACTAATAATAATGTATCCTTACAACACACTGGCAGCAGTACTTTTACTCATTGTCAACAAGGATAAACAACTTGCAATATTATACAATTAAAAATAAATTGGCTGTTACTTTTAAGCTGTTTGTGTTGTAAGTATCTAATGTTGTATTTTTAACCCTACTTTTTTAATTTACAAACTACTTTACACAAATCATTTGTTTTAGTTTACAAAAATTTTATTTCCAAAAAGACAAAAAAAGCAAAGGTCAAAAGGGACTAAATTAAGACTGTTTTTGCGATATTTTTATTCTTTCATATGCTTCCTTGTAGTGTATTGTGTATAGGGCATGCAAATACAGTACAATATGGAAATACCTGGTCCTCGTCACAACTTACAGTCTATAAAGGAGTGTTCTAATGCTTATGTCTATTCAATCAATAGTTTGTTAGTTTGTACATTTGCTGACAATTACACTGAACGTTTTATTATTAACCTCCTAAAAGGTATTTTTTAACTTTCTGGAATGGAAACATGTAAAACATTTGCTTTTTTTCCATGTGACTTTACTATTTCTCAAATTTTATTATACACAACATTTTACCTAATTCTTTTTATACTTTTGACTTTTTGCACCAAGAGCCAAATCAATTTTCTAGTTTGTGACTTCCTGTTACGGACATGGCAATACAGATTATTCTGATTCTAATTTTCTGCATGTTGTGTATTGCTGATAGCTTGTATCTGTCTGGTGTATACAATAAGTTGTTTTGTTGAAAGAAATGCATTGCAAACCCTCCAGTCCTGTCTGTGGTCACATCCCTAAAGATCTCCCATCCCTTTATATTGGCTTCATGTTCTAGATTCAGATTCATTTATTTGCCATTTGCAGTAAAGATGTTCTATAAATATCTATGAATACGAGCAGACCCTCCACAAAGGTTGCATCAAGAATTTCTAGTTATTGGATTCCATGTTGTTTGGAATCACACACATTAGCACTTGTAGTCTCTGCTACAAAATGTCTCAGTCCAGCTGTTTGGCCCTTTTCCTCTTTCCTTTGCAGCCACCCTCTGCACTCACAAGTCTTCCTGTTCTCACTTCACAGCAGCTACAAAAGGCAAAACAAAACACACCCAGCATGCACGCTCCGCACTGGAGGCCATCCCAAAGACGCCTCGCAGCAAAACTAACACACCATTAGCATACATTTCCATACACCAACTTTGGGAGATCATTTTTAAACTTCTAACACGGTTAATTTTGATGTGATGTCAGTTTTTATTCACTAATGATGGCCAGGAGCGATGTGGAACCTTCATTCTGTCATCAAACTGAATAAAACATCGCAATTCCTCTCCTCCAAAGCTCTGTGTCTTTGAGCAGGAAAATGAACAGGGAGACTGGACATTGTTGCATGCTTTATAAGTCATGTATTACATTAAAACTTGGAATACTCTTTTTTGAAATAAATACACATGTAAGTCTTATATCTAGCACAAAATTAAGCTGTCTTAAAAAAAGGGTTTAAATGTATTCTGCAGGCCCATTTTAAGACAATGCAACTCTATCATGTAATTATTTTCTTAATTCAGGGATTATCATTCAAGGTTTAGCTGTTTTTGGCACACATTTGGAATCTACTTTAATTGGATATGATAGTTGTGATTATTAATTTGACAATTTTGCTTTGTCCAACCTGAAACATAATTACTATGAACTATAAAATAATGATTTCAAAGTATAAATCTTCATAAGTATAATGCAATTACTATAATAATATCTCACAGTGAATGTATAATTTGGAATGTACATTTATATATGAAAGTGTATGTATATTTAGACATGAGACTGAAAAACGCTTTGTTTGAGCGTACTTGGTAGTCAAATGGTTGGAGATGTAATCAAATTAGACTTTTGTTCTCATTTTATTCTGGAATATTGTCATTGGCTAGTTAAGGAAGATTAATCTGGTCTTATTTGTAGAATTAAAAGTATTTTGTTCTTCTATACCAGACGATAGTAGAACAACCAAATACTTAAAGACCTACTATTATGACTGTGCTTGTAATACACAATCAGCCGTTGGATTCATCATGCACACTTTACTAGTTCAGTCAAATGTCAATATTAGCAGTGAGTAACACAAGCAAACACAACGTTTTGCAACCTGTGTGGCATATATTCTCTAATGCTTAAATGTTAGCTGTACATTACCACATTACACCTGCTATTCCCACATAGACGTACCTGTACATCGGCTTGTGCCGTCTCACCTTTCCCATAACGTACGCTAGAATAAGTAGAAATAAGTAAAGGTTGGTGAGGCTGCCCTGCCTCCCCCGGGTCCGGAGTTAATGGATAACCTCTGTAACTAAGGTGTGCCCTCATTTGCCTGTTTCTGCTTTCTGACCAATCAGAGGACAGACCTGCTGAGGCGATGCAGGCCAACCAGGAAAAGCCAAAACAAGAGCATGTGTTTATAATATGGACAGGTGAAGAGACCAGTCTGACCAGTCCCAGAGTGCATGTGTTTGTGGTTAGAGGTCTAAAACATGGGCCACTTGCAGAAAATTATATTTCTTTTTTCAGTTATCTGTAATACACATCCAACAGAAAAAAAGATAAAATTAAAGTTACTAAATATATAAATATATAATTAAAGTTTATTGTATCTATGTAAGATTAGTCAGCATCAAATGACTAATATGTCAAAAGGCAATAATAAATCATGCTCTTTTACTCTCAGTACTTTACATGCTCAGTATTTTACATGCTCAGTACATTACATGGTCGTTACTTTACATGTTCAGTACTTTACATGCTCAGTACATTACATGGTCGTTACTTTACATGCTCAGTACTTTACATGCTCAGTACATTACATGCTCAGTACTTTACATGCTCAGTACTTTACATGCTCAGTACTTTACATGCTCAGTATTTTACATGCTCAGTACATTACATGCTCAGTACTTTACATACTCAGTACTTTACATGCTCAGTACTTTACATGCTCAGTACTTTACATGCTCAGTACTTTACATGCTCAGTATTTTACATGCTCAGTACATTACATGCTCAGTACTTTACATACTCAGTACTTTACATGCTCAGTACTTTACATGCTCAGTACATTACATGCTCAGTACTTTACATACTCAGTACTTTACATGCTCAGTACTTTACATGCTCAGTACTTTACGTGCTCAGTACTTTACATGCTCAGTACATTACATGCTCAGTACTCAGAGTTAGAGTTTTAGTTTTATTTTAATTAGTATAGCTATTGTTCACTTAACTTGTTCCGTGTGCTTCTCTTTCCTACTGTCCTATAACTTGTGATGCAACACTGAAATTTCCCCACTGTGGGACGAATGGATCCCTTAATCTTAATCTTAATCTTTTCAAATACTTATTTAACTGCTAAGAGTACTTCAGCTGGGATATTTGAATATCAAGGTTATATTTACTGCCCCTGAAACTTGTTATTGTTTTAATTTCGATAGTGCCGCCCTCCACCATTTCACCGGTCACAAAGTCTGTGATCCGTGTTGCCAATGTCACTGGTAAAGTAACATGTGGCTCAGAACTAAAAAAAAAGGTCTCATAATAATTCTACAATCATTCATGACAAAACAAGGATTAAAATAAGGATTTCTATGCGGACCTTTGCGAAAAAGGTGTTGGTTGTAGATTTGTTGTTGTTGACAAAACTCTTGTCTATTCAGCTATTATGGTCCCAGCTGGATTTGTCTGCATATCTGGCAACCTGAGTCAGAGAGAGTGGGAGAGGACTACAGAATATTGACTGTGATTGCAGTACCACTTTTGGTTATTTATAGGTTAAAATAAAGTGCTTAGAAAAAAAGGAAGAAAAAAACTACCTTTCTTTAATAACAAAAAACAATTATACATTATTCTGGGCAGTTATTTAATGCAACAAAAGATAAGACCATCAAATCATACTGTATGTCTAATTAAAGCAAAACTATTATGTAAAGTATATATGATTAAGAACTGATTTAGTTCTTGAATGAGGGAGACAAAATATATTTGTTTCTTTAACCATATACTATTTTCATGTAGTAGTAGAAGTAGTTGTAGTAGTAGTTGTT